AAAAAAAAAAAAACTGGTGTGTGAAGTGTTTATCAAAGTTGGGTGATTTTTGAGAGTACTGTACTAAAACACCAATGTACACATTTTAGCATTTAGTGTACGGTTCAACAGTTTAAGGCATGTGTGGATAATATTAAAAGGTAAAAATGTCTTCACAAATATACATTTTAATTGTTAATTTTTAACAATTTACAACAATGGGAAAAGAGCTAGCAAAAATAAATTATAATTCAATAGAAATAGTACCAGTTTTTAGGAATATTTGTACCAAAACACAAGTTTTGTGAAATAAGAGTTTGCTTTTTGAGTAGCTGTTGTGCCAAGCTGGCTATTTTTATGATTAGGTGGAGCTGAACTACACCTGTGTAGGGGGTTTAAAATAGGAGAAGACAAACCAAAGGGTCCATGTCAACTCATCACACCAGGTAATAACATACTACATGTCATCTATGACGATGATTCGCTGCACTGTTAAACATAGCCAAACGTTTATGTAGGTAAAGACACATCATGCTTACTTAGTGTCTAAATCAGATGTCCAGGGGTGCCATCAGCTCAGAACTGGCATTAAGCATGTGAGCCACATGTATACCCATCTACTGTTTAGAGAAATATTTGGCTACAAGCGAAGGCAGCTTGTTAAAGAGCATTCCACTGAGTGTTTGAAGCAACAGTCAAGCACGGCGAAAGTTTCTTGCAAGCCCGGAGGTGCATTTCCGTAAATCAAGTTGAAAATTTGTCTAAAATTAAGAGTCCTCACTGCTGGGAAATACAGTTACCTATTCATCATACAGAAGCATCAAGAAGATTTCTACCACAAATTTAGTTTATAACACAATGGCTCCAAAAATAGATTTTCACAATAAAGAACAAGGCGGCGTAAAGGCGATAGTATGAACCAGAGAGCTCAACATGATTGAGTGTCTGGGATTACATAATAAATATAAAATACATGAAAAAAAAAAAACGAAGGACGCAAGCCTCAGAAAATCAGTAGTCAAGATGTTTCAACAGCCTACACGAAGAGTTCCTTCAAAAGATGAGCACATGTACTAAGAACAAGTGTAATAAAAAAAAAAAAGTATTTAGAATTGCCTTTTAGTTCCTTCACTTTGCCCTAATAAAAGCAAACCTTTAAATTGTGACATTCTTACTTCACAGCATTTTCTACCTGCTAAGAAATGAACTGCAAGTTTTCAGTCAGTGTGGTTTTACTGTTCAGCTTATTTACAACGGACCGATTAAAAAACAGAAACACTGATTCAATGTGAGGAAAAATCAAATTATGCAGCAAACTGAGTTTATCACGTAGCATGGATCCACAACATAGCATTATGGCATGAGCAAAGCTGGAGAGAGTGGACCGTCATGCTGGGCCCCCTGGTCCGCTCGAACCAGGAAGTTGTCTGTCCTGAAGTACTTCGGCTCTATTCACGGGTGAGGGTCCAGTGCTTTGTGGACCTGAAGCTTCTCTGGTACTCATGCCGCCCAGTGTGCACAGCTCTGGAGCGGCCTGTCCATCTTCATCATTTTCAGTATTTTAACTATTTGGGACCATTGAACCTTGTTAATGCATCTGGATTTGCCCATCCTTGCCAACTTCATTACTTTTGGGTTCTAAGTAGCCATGCCTTTATAAATTCACCTCACCATGGAACGATTGTGGGGGCCAAATGCCTCAATATCAACTCCAGTAACTATACCTCTGCAACAACACCGGGAAATGTTTAATTGTAATGCTTCTAATCCTGACAATAGCTCTCCTTATTTTTTAAGGCTAGATGCACAAATCATAGCAGAACCAGTGTCTCACATCTTTAATTTGTCCGTACGCCAAAATACCATTCCAAATGCTTGGAAAAGAAGCTTTCCTTCTACCTTTATTGAAGGGAGGAAATCCCACTGAACAATTATCGATCTATCTCCAACCTCTGCATTTTAGCTAAGGTTTAAGGTTTTATTGATAAAAACTCAAGTCAAGAAGTATTTGGATTATTTAAACATCTTATCTTCACATCAATCTGGTTTCAAGAAACAACAAAGCACAACGGCTTCGCTGAATTTTTTAATGTTGTTGTTGAAGCACTGGATGCTAAGCATTACTGTGCTGCACTTTATTTAGACCTGTCTAAAGCTTTTGATACTGTAGACCATGACATCTTATGCTGTAAGTTCTCAGATCACTATGTTGGTTTTCTAATTATCTCTCAGATTGGAGGCAATGTGTTTGACACAATATGGTACTTCTTCCAGATATTTAACTGTCAATAATGGTGTACCACAAGGCTCAGTCTTAAGACTGAATCTCTTTACAATCTACGTAAGTAATGTACTGTAGGTCAGAGCATTCCTGATGCATCCTTACATTTCTATGCCGACGACAGTTGTTTATTGTCATGTTAAATCAGTTGCTAAGGTTTTCCAGCTTTTACAGTCTGTATTCAACATTATTCAGACTTGTTCTGTCTCAAACTGGTGCTAAATGCTGATAAAGCCAAAGGGATGTTGTTTTCAAACAGGAAGTTGGTACCAACAGTCCTTCCTTCCATATCATCTATGACTGGTGTTCCTATTGAGTTTGTCGATTCTTACAAATACTTGGGAATCTTGGTCGATGCACATCTCTTTAAAGCCTCATGTCAAACTTGATAAATTGATTTTTTTTTCTCCAGAAATAGATCTTATTTAACTGAATACAGTACTAGGAAACACCTTAACTGTGACTTTCCTTCCCTCCATTGACTACGATGACATTATTTACATGACTGCTCCTGCAAGCACTCTGCAGATGCTGGATGCTGTTTATAACGGTGCACTAAGATTCATAACTGGCTATAACTACCATACCAATCACTGCACTCTGTACTCATTGGTCAACTGGCCATCATTAACTTCACACAGGCTCTCACACTAGTACATATTCATCTTACACTCATTGGTCTGCTGCCTTAATACATCTCCTACACGCCACGTCATCACTGCAGCTACAGCGTGTGCTCTCAAGATATCATTACCTGCAGTGTCCCCTCAGTGCAGGCTGAATTTGGCAAAAGGGCCTTCTCTCACTCTGCTCCTGTAACCTGGCAGACTTTACAAAAAGAGCTGAAGCTGTTGACTTTGACCTCTCTAAGGGATTTTAAACAATTAAGTTCATGCAAAAATCAATGCAGACATGTTCCTGATTTTAGTATTTTACACCATTTAATAATGTAGCTTGTTTTTATTTTTTGTAACTACCACTACTTTTATTTACTTTTCATTTTATATGCTTATTTTTGGCTGTTTATTGTGTGCACCTTATCTGTGGTTTTGTTTAAAATGGGCCTCTTGAAAATGAGTCCTTGTGACTCCTGTATAAATAAAGGTTGAATGAATAAACTAAAGAATACAACAGCTACACTTGGTACACAATTAGTTGACAGATTAGGTGTTAAGTAATAATTACCAAAGTACCAGTAAGCAACTCTCATATTAGCCAAAGTGGCCACTCCTTCAATTAGCCATTCCTGGCACATGCACAAAGCATGCAGCCGGTGCATGAACACAAGCAAACAACCAATCAGCTCTAGCCTAGTGGAGTGAAGCACGTGCCAGGCATGTCCCGAAATGTCACATATCTTGGCACCAACATTTATTGTTGAACTAACGCTATGAGCAATTAAAATGACAATTAAAAAAAATCTCCCAACTTAAGATGACTGAATCACAATCTGTTTGTGCTCTTCAAAGACATTTTGCTGCTTTTGTATCCTTCATTAAACAGCGTTTATATTACTCTTTTCAGCCACAGATGTTAAAGGATTAAGGTATTAGCTTTCCAAGTGAAACACTAAAGCATATAAATAAAACAAACTGTGCTGAGAAAGTTTATTATCGCAGTATTTAATGTGTCCATGAAACATTTAGGCAAAAATTATTAAAAACATAATGACAGTATATTTTAGCTGCTGCTACTTACTAACTATAACAGTTGTGTACAAAATGGAGGAAAAAAAGTTTATATTTCTGCTTTTTATCTCAGCGAGGCGGGAACCCCCGATGTGGCCCTCCTCTGCCCCGGAATCCTCCTCTGTCTCCTCGGAAGTTTGGTCTGTTTCTCTCTCTGCCTCGGTCTCCACCTCTTCCGATATTTGGCCCACCACGACCCCCTCTGGGGGCTCCGCCGCCACGGTCCGATTTCAGTTTAACAGGCGACTTGGGCCGCAGCCTCTCTATTTCCTCCGTACAGCCAGATAAATGGGAGTCTGGTAATGTGAAATTTGACGCAAAGGTTTCTGGATTAAAGTTGGTGTTTGTCAGCGTAGGACCAACGGTCACCCAGCCTAGAAATGGAATGAAAAGGATGGAAAAACAAGATGATTAAAGGAATGAGAAGACCCAAACAACAACTCAACAATATTGTTTTAATCTGTTCAGCAGAAGTGGAGTGCATCCTTCGCACCTGGTCTGATGGTCGAGTCTCGTCCGAACAGGTGCAGCCTCCTGCGGCCCAGGCAGAAGTGTTCGATGATGTGAAAGATCTCCACAGGTTTCTCTATGTTTCCCATCTCTGGCTCCTCAGTGATAATCAAGTCGATGTCCACGTTGGCGTGGATGAAGTCGCCATCAGTACTCCGCCGCACTGTCCCCTTGATTCCCATCAGGCAGTGCTCCTGCAATAAATGTGCTCCAACTCAGCGTGCATCATGTAATATCATGATTTAAACAGTTTTATTGCAACATATGGTAATAAAACCGATACATAAACTGCTTGTTATGCAAATATTTTTCTTCATCAAACATGAATAAAACATGTCCCAACTTATGGAATGAAAAACTGTTTTAATGGTAATGTTAATAAATGCTTTTCCTCTTTGGTTTGCGGTCCAAATGTTTTCACATCACTGCTGCATTATGGCTGATCAACTCCCAGCCTCGTGATGTTTGTCACTTCGTCTTGTTTCCTTATAATAAACTAGATGAGGTGACGATACCTCTGATGGACGGAGACAAAAGAACCCAGCACGACTAAAAATGACAGAAAACTTGTCTCTTTGTTTTTCTTCCTGCTCTTCTGACATGATGATTAAACAGATACGAGAATGAGCTGGTACCTGTCCAGCTAAAACATAGTTATTTTAAAAATATGCACAGAATCAGAAAACTGGAACCTCTGCTGTGTGATCTGCTTTTTAGGAACCTGCACATTGTTTTAGGTTTACACCTTCAGTACAAGAAGAATGGTTAGTATTCACATGAGTGCACTGTACCTTAGTTCTCTGGAGCACTGCTTTTGGGTCCAGTGCCTTTGTTTTTTTTGGGTTGTTTTTGTTGGTCTTGATCCAACAGATATCTTCACACCTCCTGAATCCCCAATGCTTCAGGCACTGAAACCAGAGTGAGAGGGCTAAGTACAACAACAGACAATTAGATAATCACACGGTTGTTTTTATGCCTGTTCAGCAGGTTACTGGAAATGAGCTGAAAAGCCAGAGAAGAAAAAAGCAGAGCTTTACAAATTAAATTAAGTTTATCTAAAAAAGTTAAATCTGGTCCTCTGGACATTCAAAAAAACAAAACAAAGCAAATCAACAAAAAAATGTAGAAACGTTTCGTCTCTCATCCGAGAGACTTCCTCAGTCTGAGGAGCTGTATTCAGCTCAGTCTCTTAAATAGCACCTTCTCCGAGTGGATCAACCAGTTTGCTGCTGACAACCAAAACCAGCTGATCACATGCTCAAGAAGGACCATCAGCCTAACAATGGGTCATTAGCACACTGATGGCTGTTTACTACTCACAGAGGGCTGAGTGATACTAGCAATCACAGCATTGTAAGAGGGGGACAGTTGAACCCGGAGGCCTCCACCCCTGTTTAATGATGGACGATTTCTTTTCACAAAGATGGCCTCCTTTACTCCTCTCTCAAACCATCGTTCCTCTCTGTCCAGGATGTGCACATCTTCATCCCTGAAAGAGTGACCGCTGGCCTGGAGATGAGTGTAGACCGCAGAGTCCTGGCCTGATGATGTTGATCTTCTGTGCTGGGCCAGAACTGTACAGTACTGACCACATCAACTCTGTGGATAAACACATCAAGTTCACACGAGAAGATGTAAAAAATGGCAGGTTGGCTTTCTTGGACTGTGAGGTCTCAGTCTCTGATAGAGGACATTTGCAAATTGAGGTGTACCGCAAACCCACCCACACAGACCAGCATTTGCAGTTTGACTCCCATCACCCTTTGGAGCACAAGTTAGGAGTCATCAGGACTCTGTATCACAGAGCAGACAGCGTCCCCACTAGCTCAGGAGCCAGGCAGAAGGAGAAATCCTACACAAAACAGGCTCTAGAGCAATGTGGATATCCTAACTGGGCCTTCCTGAAAGCAGAGAAGAAACCCAAACAGGACTCCAGTCAGCCAACAGGTGAAAAGGAGGAACCCAGACCCAGACCAGTGGTCATTCCGTATGTTGAGGGAGTATCAGAGAAACTGAGACGTTTATTTTCTAAACATAACGTCCCAGTGGCTTTTAAACCCCAAAATACATTACGGCAAAGACTGGTTCATCCCAAAGATCCAGTCCCCCGGCACAAACAGAGTAATGTTGTGTATGCTGTTCAGTGTCAGGAGGGCTGTGATCAGTCTTACATCGGGGAAACTAAACAGCCACTGGCCAAAAGGATGGACCAGCACAGAAGATCAACATCATCAGGCCAGGATTCTGCGGTCTACACTCATCTCCAGGCCAGCGGTCACTCTTTCAGGGATGAAGATGTTCACATCCTGGACAGAGAGGAACGATGGTTTGAGAGAGGAGTAAAGGAGGCCATCTTTGTGAAAAGAAATCGTCCATCATTAAACAGGGGTGGAGGCCTCCGGGTTCAACTATCCCCCTCTTACAATGCTGTGATTGCTAGTATCACTCAGCCCTCTGTGAACAGTAAACAGCCATCAGTGTGCTAATGATCCATTGTTATGCTGATTGTCCTTCTTGATCATGTGATCAGCTGGTTTTGGTTGTCAGCAGCAAAACTGGTTGATCCACTCGGAGAAGGTGCTATTTAAGAGACTGAGCTGAATACAGCACCTCAGACTGAGGAAGTCTCTCGGATGAGAGACGAAACGTTTCTACATTTTTTTGTTGATTTGCTTTGTTTTGTTTTTTTGAATGTCCAGAGGACCAGATTTAACTTTTTTAGATTTTTCTACCTGGATTATTGAGCATGCATCAGGATAAATTAAGTTTAGTCCAATTTTAGGCTTTTGAAAAGAACATTTTTGCATTGAACCATTAGTAGTTTGCAGAGGTAAACAAGGACATTTTCCAGGTTGTTCAGTGCCAATATTATGGATTGTCTGCAACTTTTACAATAAAGGTGGCAAAAAAAACTTAAGAAAAATCTAATTTAATTAGTAAAAATACAGTTTACTATTTACAAATATTCTCAAGCAGCCATCTTATGGATTGTTTGGAGCTCTTGAGTGGCAGACTCTTTCAGGAGCTGCTGGAGTGGAACTTCCTCATTCTCATCCTCATCAGGCTTTACAAGAGAGGCACTCGAGGCGTATGTAAGGCAGAGATTACAATTACATTTATCACAGTACAGTTCTCTCTCAGTGTGATTCTAAATATAATCAAGTTTAGTTCATCCAAACAGACACAACACCTTGTTGTTGTTAAATCACTGTGAAGAACTGAATTTTGAAACACCTGAAACTGACTCTCAAAGAGAACTTCCTGAGTTTAAGGTAAAAATAATAAAATTAAACAGAGAAAAACATCTTTGTTATAATCTGGGACATATAAATATTTATATTTTTAGTGCTACTATAGTTTAATGTTAAGAACTAAAGCGGAGGAGTGGCGGCCCAGAGGTTAGAGACTGCAAGCATGTGATCAGAAGGTCGCCAGTTTGACTCCCCAGACCGACGACAAAATGTGGGTGAGAAAGGTGAAGCACCTTCATTTGCCCCACTCTGGGCCATTGAGCAAGGCACACCATCTGCTCCCCCGGGTGCCCTAGATGGCAGCTCTGTTCCACACAGAGGGCTGTGGTAGCTCATTTGTCTGCGCTCCCATGACTGCGCTCTCTCTCTGATCTGGAGTTTGGTCATACGTGCAGGTTGCTCATGTCTGTACGATGACGATGCTCTGAACACCATCATTTAATGCAAAGTTACATTTTAGATACAAAAGCCCCGAGGAGTTCGGGGCGCGATGCGGGAGGAGTGGGCGGAGGTGATGGTGCATCAGTTCTGGCATCTCTCCAGGCTGCAGTGAACTGGTCACATGTAGACACCTTTAATAATTTATTACGTCATTATTTTGGGTTAGTGTATTGGGATGTCCTCGTTAGAAACAGTCCAGTAACCTGTGACTGGTGCTCTCACCTGCAGTCTGTCTCTGAGTCAGGAACACTATCACCTGCTGAGTATCAGACAGAAGGACCCGCCCTGCTCTGACTGGCTTAAACTGTGGCTCTGGTTCTCTTATTTGTTCAAAGCAGTGTCAGTTTAATCCCTGTATCATAGTTAGATTGGATGGCTTTAAAAAGACCACAACAATACAAGTTTTTTGCCCCCTTTCATTTCATGGAGAACTTTAATCATGTCCATTTCACTTTGCTGTCCACTGGACAACCCCAAGGAGAGATCTGGTTGTCCAAAACGAAAACAGCTCATGTCAGACAACCAGAAAACAGCTCATGTCGACCCCTGGGTTCATCAGAAATCTAACTTATTCTTTTCTTGTTTTCTTTTTCAAAAAGAGAAGAATTCCAATGTAAAAGCTGGTATCTGCCTGCCTCAACACAAAACTAACATTTAACAAAAAATCTGCCAAGTCCAGAATGGCCCGAAATAGCTAAACTTCATAATTGTTGCTTGTACCAACAATTAAAAAAAAAAAATACCAGTTCAGGTGAGGTCTACCAAAGCACCTCTTTTTCTTTTTCCCAAACTCACAGGGTGGGGCCATCATTCATCACTTCTGATGGAATGAAAAGATTTACGTCACAGTGGCAGACAAGCATGCAGCTCAGAAATAAAAGTCTTGATATGTCTCTTGGTTTCACCTAAAACAGGATGTTATTGATGTGGAATGCATGCTCTCCACAGATCAGACAGACATTTCATGCAAAAGTTAACAATCTCAGATTGACTTCAAAGATTTACAATGCCTAAAAAAGTAAGTATTCACCCCCTTTGATGTTTAAACCCTTTTTTCTTTTTATAAATCAATCACTCATGGTCATTATGAATTGGCTTTTCTGACAAAAAACAAACTTTGTAGAAATGTGATTTCACTTAGTCATTAAAGTAATGTCACTTAAATAAATGTGTAATGTACAAATAGTCCCTTTCTTTAGACTGTGGAGAAGAATAGTGAGAGACCAAGACACCAGAGAAAGATTGTTTAAGAGAACTCCTTAAATCTCTACTAGCGTGCGTCTCTGCAGCCAGCTCGAGCTGAAATAACTTTCTCTGTCAACTAAACATAAAGCTCAGACTGGTGAAGAACTCGGGCAACAGTGGTTGTATGCTCAGTCTCTCCCATCTCACCTGCTGAAGCTTGTAACTCCTTCAGAGTGGTCACAGGTGTCTGTGGTCTCTCAGTAATCTCCTTCACGGTCTCTTAAGCCCCATTTACACGGGATTAGTTTTACCTAGGGACCACATGCAATTTGTAATAATTACGGAGATTGTGTGTGTTGTTAATCCAGTGCGAATCGGCTATGTCAGTAATTTGTAAAGTAAAAATTCCCACGCAAATTACCGACTATATTTTACTGAACTCCGAGGTGATGAAATGAACTCGCTGCTCGCTTCGGCCTTTTTAATTTATTTTCTCTTGCACCGGTCCTGGAGATACTGCAATACCAGGTCGATGCGTGGAGTGGACAGAGCAAGCCATTCCATCTCCCTGTTCCAAAAATCAATTTAATATATGGTCCCCAAGTAGGGGACGGCGTTTATGCTGCTACTTCCTTCACCGCGGATGACAGCAGCTGCGGAGACGCGCACATTATCAGATGATCAATTGATCAATCCATCCATTATATTTACCTGCTTCTTCCTTTTCGGGTAGCGGGAATCACTGGTGCCCATGTCCAGCCATGACTGTGCGAGAGGCGGGGGACACCCTGGACAGGTTGCAAGTCCATTTCAACCGGAAGGTCAGCGGACGTGCGGATGCTCACACGCACGGCTGGTGACAGTTGTCCATCTGAGCTTAACGTGGCTTTTTTTTTTACCTCTTTAAACCGGCCGGTCGGACCTGCCTCCTCCTTAACAAGTAGATTAACATAATTTTATATTGTGCATTATTTAGTTCTCTTTGTGTTGATTCGTAAAACCACATCAAAGCCTGAGACCATCCCACATATTAAACACATTATTATTGACCAGCCCGGTCGTGACAACGCAACACGTTAACATCATATCTGGAAGATGTCCGTGAATTTCAGCTAGATCTCTGGCTCTGGTTATCCTGTGCGAATGCGCCACATAAAAAGCAGACGTTGGGGAGTCATTTATTTATTACATGTGGTCCCGAGGTAAATTAACCCCGTGTGTATAGAGCTTTAATTTGTGAGGATGACCTGCTCTTGGTAGATTTACACATGCACCATATTCTTTCCATTTCTTGATGATGGATCTAACAGAACTCTTGGGAATATTTAGGACCTTGAAAATCCTTTTGTATCCATCCCCCGACTTGTTCTTTGTATTAATAATTTTTCTGGTTAAATTAGGATGGTGCCTTTAATCGGTGTGAATATTTATGCAATCGCTTATTTTACATCACATTTTTTTATTTAATTGGTATTACTCTGTAGACGTATGATTTCACTTTAACAATGAAAAAGTTATTTAGTCAAGAAGGACAATTTATATTGACCATGATTGATTTATGACAGCAATTAAAACATATAACATCCAAGGGGTGAACACTTTTTATAGGCACTGTAAATAAACACAAAGGATTGCTTTATGATGGCAAACCAGGTACCAGTAAAGAAAAATGTGTTGCATATTGGATGCGAGTCCACAGAGACTGTACTACCATTCTGCCCAAGTCCAATCCTTCTTCTGAGCCGCACCAGAGAAAGACAAAAGCTCGTGACGCTGATATCTCCTCGATCTGCAGTCCCATGATCTAAAACAGCAGAGAAAATGATAATGCAATGAGGAGGCGTCTTATAAAGTAAATAAATCATTTATAAATGAGTTTGTTCTCTTCTCCAACACTAAAGTTCCGAATCTGATGTTTGTGAAGAAACAGAACTGAACAGTCCATTCCATGTAGCTCTTCACCTGCCTCACATTGACCACATTTACATACATTAAATACTCCTTTCATTTCTCAAAGTATTTCTGTTTATTTTTGTGCTCCTAAAAGCTAAACTCAAGTGTAAATAATAATCCAAAAGATTAACTGAGAATGGCTGCATGCACACTTACATCGTCCCAGGCCCAGATTCGTTCTGTTTGGCTGATGCCCGACTCTCTGTAGTATTCCTCTAAAGGAGGCTCGATCAGAATTACATCAAACTGGCTCTTCAGATCCTGCAGGTCAAAGTGCTCCAGATCAGCCTGGAGGTACCTTTAGCGAAGACACACAGACCTTTTCAGAGCCATCACTTCTCTACACAGTTACTAAGTAATTTATCACACAATGTGATCAATATTGACATGGATTAGCTTACATCGGAGGAACATTGGTGGCGGAGATGAGTTCATCTTTCAGTCGGATCAACTCTCGGTGTTTAGGATATTCTTCAAATCGATCAGCTAAGCCTTAAACACGAGAGGACCAAAGTCAAATCAAACACAAGTATCTATACGAGTATAAGATCAGCAAACACTCACCGACGTCTCTGATGAAGTTCTGTGGTCTGTGCCCGGTGTCCACAAAGTGTTGACAGTAGTCATTGTGAGGGTTTAAACTCTGGGTACCCTGACATTTAGAGAATTGGAGCGGCAACAAAGTACAAGGACAAAGAATTATTTTTTTTTTTTAAATGAAGATGAATGGAAAAAAAACTGGATCATTATTTTGCATCAGATTTAATAAAAACGTCTGCAAGACGATGCAAATTCTGCAACTTATTTAAGAACATGAAAGATCAAGTCGTTGTAACGATGCAACATAACCGGTGGGGATTCTCCAGACACTGCATGAATTTCCAAAGCCAATATTTTAAATTTATATAAATCTTGCAAAGCAAAAAAATTAATTCATAAACCTAAAGCAGCTGTTAATATATGTAATTTGTCATGTTTATATTCATTTTTTGTCCATGTGTATCATCTGTAATGGGATCAAAACCCCACTACGCATTATTCATTACTAAAAGTCTAAAAGTTTGTAATAAATTATCAAAATCAGTCGTGCTCTGTTGCCAATATTTGGGAGTTTGTTTACTTTTGAACATGGCTGAGTACACTTCAGACAGTCGCACACGACGCAAGTTGGGTTAATAAAATAATCCCAGGAAGTAAACGGAGTCGAGGGGAGAACAATGGCATTGAAAGCGAAATTATAAATCGCAGAGTATAAACACAGCTTTATTCTCTTTTCTTCTGAAAAAGATTAAAACGACCAAACGCTGAGAGTCAAAGAAAATCATGCAGCGGAGACCTCGTGGAAAATTTCTCAAACTACTCATCGTCATATTCGTAAACAAAGGTGAAGAATATTTATTGATAAGTTAAATTACCACCAATTAATCATTTAATGGTATAGATACAGTCGCCGCTTGTTATATCGTGGTTCACTGCTTGCAGCTTCACTGAATCTTGTCACTGTTTATGTTCCATTAAAACAAGACAAACGGTATGCCATGAGCCAACTCCTGGAATGTGTGGTAGAAGTCAGAACATGGATGTCACAAAATGTTTTACATTTTAATGAGGAAAAGAACGAGGTCTTGTTGTTTAAGCCCAATGATGGTACCAAAGTCCATGCTGATCAGGGTCCTTTAACACAAAACATCTACCATACCATAGCACTTTATTTATAAAGCACTTCAAACAGCAACAAGGCCAACCAAAGTGCTGTACAGCAGAAACAAAACAAGCAAAGGACACAGGATAAAATACAAACCGGATTCCAAAAAAGTTGGGACACTAAACAAATTGTGAATAAAAACTGAATGCAATGATGTGGAGATGGCAAATGTCAATATTTTATTCGTAATATAACATAGATGACAGATCAAAAGTTTAATCTGAGTAAATGTAACATTTTAAAGGAAAAATATGTTGATTCAAAATTTCACAGTGTCAACAAATCCCAAAAAAGTTGGGACAAGTAGCAATAAGTGGCTGGAAAAAGATATTGAGCATATAACGAACAGCTGAAAGACCAATTAACACTAATTAGGTCAATTGACAACATGATCGGGTATAAAAAGAGCTTCTCAGAGTGTCAGTGTCTCTCAGAAGCCAAGATGGTAAGAGGATCACCAATTCCACCATTGTTGCACAGAAAGATAGTGCAGCAATACCAGCATGGTGTTACCCAACGTAAAATAGCAAAGACATTTAAGTTATCATCATCAACCGTGCATAACATCATCAAAAGATTCAGAGAATCTGGAACAATCGCTGTGCGTAAGGGTCAAGGCCGAAAAACTCTATTGGATGCTCGTGATCTCCGGGCCCTTAAACGTCGCTGCACCTCAAACAGGAATGCCGCTGTCAAGGAAATAACAGAATGGGCTCAGGAATACTTCCAGAAAGCATTGTCAGTGAACACAATCCACCGTGCCATCCGCCGTTGCCAGCTGAAACTCTACAGTGCAAAGAGGAAGCCATTTCTAAGCAAGCTCCACAAGCTCAGATGTTTGCACTGGGCCAGGGGTCATTTAAAATGGAGTGTGGCAAAATGAAAGACTGTTCTGTGGTCAGGTGAGTCACGATTTGAAGTTCTTTATGGAACACTGGGACGCCATGTCATCCGGACAGGAGAGGACAAGGATAGCCCACGTTGTTATCAACGCTCCGTTCAGAAGCCTGCATCACTGATGGTATGCGGTTGCATGAGCGCTTGTGGCATGGGCAGCTTGCAAGGCACCATTAATGCAGAGAACTAAGTTCAGGTTCTAGAACAACATATGCTCCCATCTAGACATCATCTCTTTCAGGGAAGACCCTGCATTTTTCAACACGATAATGCCAGACCACATTCTGCAGCAATCACAACATCATGGCTACGTAGGAGAAGGATCCAGGTACTGAAATGGCCAGACTGCAGTCCAGATCTTTCACCAATAGAGAACATTTGGCGCATTATAAAGAGGAATGTGCAACAAAGAAGGCCCAAGACGATTGAACAGTTAGAGGCCTGTATTAGACATGAATGGGAGAGCAATCCTATTTCTAAACTTGAGAAACTGGTCTCCTCTGTCCCCAGACGTCTGTTGAGTGTTGTAAGAAGAAGGGGGGATGCCACACAGTGGTAAAAATGGAGTTGTCCCAACTTTTTTGGGATTTGTTGATGCCATTAAATTTGGAAACAACAGATTTTTCCCTTAAAATGATACATTCTCTCAGTTTAAACTTTTGATCTGTGATTTGTGTTCTATTCTGAATAAAATATTAGATGTTGGCACCTCCACATCATTGCATTCAGTTTTTATTCACAATTTGTTTAGTGTCCCAACTTTTTTGAAATCCGGTTTGTACATAGATCACACAGGAATGAAGTTAACAACTAAATATTATAGAATACAGACACGTTAAAATCAACTCGCACAGTGTCAAAAGCCCGGGAATAAAGGTGAGTTTTTAAACGAGACTTAAAAACAGTGATGGAGGGAGCCTGCCTGACATGTAGTGGTAACTCATTCCAAAGTCCTGGACCTGCAACAGAGAAGGCCCTGTCACTTCTGAGCTTAAGACAGGTTCCTGGAACCAATAGAAGCATCTGGTCTGACCTCAGAGAGCGCTGTGGAACATATGGCTGCAGCAGATTAGTGACATAGGAGGGGGCAGAACTGTTCAGAGATTTGAAAACATGCAGAAGTATTTTAAAATTAATTTGAAAGTGAACCGGGAGCCAGTGCAGGGAGGCCAGGACTGGAACATCTGACTGAGACAGCAACTAAACTGGGTGAGAGGCTGGACAATGATTTTAAACTCGATGCACAGATTAAATCAGTGATCAAGTCCAGCTTTTCAATTCAATTCAATTCAAAAATACTTTATTAATCCCAAAGGGAAATTATTTTGTTGTTGTAACTCATTATCCTCATTTCATTAAGAGATGTTATAGATGCTGATGGCTGTAGACAGGAAGGATCTCTTGTAAAGGTCCATCCCACAGTGGATCCTAAGAAACTGGCTGCAGATGCCGTCCGATCCATCCACCCAGACTCGGCTGGCCTCTCAGTTCCCCTGGACTGTAGGACCGCCTGAATGCTGGGCTGAACTCCTCCCAGAGCGATGGCCACTCCTCCCAGCAATCTGCCGAGCTCCTCATAGCTGTGGGCAGCCAACTGTAGGTGCTGAGGGACGATCCTGTCCTTCTGCTGTCGTGAGCCGTGTTTCCTGCTAGTTCCAGGATCTCAGTGGTCAGGCACTCGAGCACAGCTGGCAGGTAGATGAGAATGCGTCCACATAATATCCTTTTCAACTCATTTGAGAGTTGGGGCCATAGTTGAGATATTATTTGAGCTTTTGAGATGTTAATCAGCTGCTGTTGTTGTAGAAAACAGCATTGTTGCCATGGTTACGCATCATAACAAATGTCCAAAACTTAAAAAGTTTCAGTAAAAATCCTTCCGACTGCACAGCGTCCAATACCAGAAGAAACAATAATCCAAAAAATATGATTTACATCCAGAAAACCAGGAATTAAAGTTTCCAAAAGCAAAATCTCAGAATGAAAGTAACAGAGCTGCTCCAACATGCAGCCACCTTGAGCGGCGCAAAGATCACTTTTATCAAGATTTGATCAAGATTTTATCACTTGAGACAACCGGCCAAGGTCAAACTTTTCTCTCACGACACAACTTTGAGATGTTAATCCATGCTTTCATTACAACTCATCTGGACTACTGTAATACACTTTATGTGGGTCTGAGCCAGTCATTACTGACTTCAGCTGGTTCAGAATGCTGCTGCTCACCTTTTAACTGGTACCAGAAAACGAGAGCACATCACCCCTGTTTTAGAATCACTGCATTGGCTCCCAGTTCATTTCTGAATAAATTCTTCACAGTCTCGCCCCACAGTATCGGTCTGACCTGCTCCAGCCGTACGTTCCCTCATCCTCGCACAGATCAGCAGATCAGCTGCTGTTGCTCATTCCAAAATCAAAGAGAAGGTGACCGAGCGTTTTCAGTCGCTGCCCCTAAACTATGGAATGAGCTGCCTTTGCATGTCAGATGGGCTGACTCACTTCCTGTTTGTAAATCTGCTCTGAAGACACATTTTTTCACTTTGGCTTTTAACTCAGCTTGAAATGTTGAATTTACAGTTTTTATTTATTTGTTTTACTGTTTTTACCGTTTGCTGTTTTATGATTCTAATAGTTCCTTACTTTTATGGTTTCAATTGACTTTATAGTTTTTGCTTGTACGTGTTAGTGTACAGCACTTTGGCCAGTGGTGTTGTTTTTAAAGTGCTAAATAAATCAAGTTGTATTTTATTATTGTATTGTATCGCGGCTGGTTTATTATATTGTGTGCTCTGTACATGCTGCGCAGTACTGTACATTCATCTCATCGGCATCACCTTCATCACCATCGTCAAAGTGTTTAAGAGCATATGAAGTGTTTATAAGAGAGTGAACGTCCTGATTCCTGCCTGTCTGCTCACCACGCCCACCTGCTCTGCTGTGATCAGCATAACTCTTCTCACCTGGTGGTCGTAGCATTTAAACAGCGTCAGATTACTGAAAGCCTTGCACAAGTAAATGTCCAGCAATTATCTCTTGTGTCTGACTGATCACCTCATCCTGACCAAGTTCCTGTGCCCTGGATTTTCCTGTTTCGCCTTGCAAAACTTTCCAGTGTGTTTCCACAGACGTGCGCTAACTCCCACCAGTCTTTTAAAAATAAAGCCGTTTGAACGTGCTCTAACTGGTTGAAACTTCAGGTCCTACACAAAATTAATTAAATAAAAAATTAATAAGAGAGTGGGAAAGGTTTGTAGGAGTATGGGAAGGGTTTATAAAATCTTAAAATATATATAACTAATAAAATATAACTCTGCTACGTCGCAGATTTTCACATACCGCGGGGGTTACGTTCCAGAGACCCCTGCGGTAGGTGAAGGACCAATGTATTTATTATTTACTTACATGCGTACTTTACATACTTTATTATGTGTACTGTACAGCACTTTGGTCCTGTGGGTGTTTAAAGTGCTCTATAAATAAAGCTGGTATGGTATTGTGTTTTAAGCATAGAATTTTATAACAGAAAATTGTGTATTTTGACAACTAATGTGGCTTTAAAACTGCCTCAACAACCTACTTTCTACAAAGACAAAGTTAACTAGTTCATGAACAAGAGCCACTGTGCACTTGCCTTTTGGCAGTATAGCTTAATATTTTTATAATCACTGGTAAAATAAATTGCTCCATTGTAATTACGTTTGAGAGTTTGTATCATATCCTCTAAGTTTGGTCATGACTTGAGTCAACAAATGCTTTTTAATGTTATCTTTAGCCACTATACAACTGTTGTTTGTTTGAAATGAAACTAAATAGTTGTGTGCCGACATGCGATCAACCATATGACTTTCTGAGAAACATTCTTCTGACGTTGTTGGGACCAGAGTTGAGCTGCAAAACAAAACTCGTCCTTCAAGCTTTGAAGCCGCAGCTAAAAAAAGACTTATCTCAAAGTTCCACCATCAGTTACTGACGAGCACGTGATGCTCGTGACAATGTAATGCCATTCGGTTTGTTTTGAACGCGAGTCAAATGTTGGGTTTTTACACTGCAAAGACACCATAAATATCTAACAAATAAAATATAAACTGAGTAAACAGCTGTTGACCAACAGACTTTAGGGCTTTTCAACAGCTGATGCAGATGTGTTTTATCAAGCACGGCGATCATTGGCCAGCATTCCATAAATTACATTCAGCATTAGCCACATATTTGTTTGGGCGCTGTCTGACGTGGCCATATTGTTTCTTATACCACACACATATACCAATATTTTGTTTGGGTTTAAAGACTTTGTAGGAACAAATCAGCAGTGATGGCAGGTCTAAAACCAACAGATATCCGGCTCCATTAATCAGATTAACAACTGGTCACCGTCAATAGAAACAGTTCAATCAGAGCCATGAGTTAAATAAACTGAAAATGAATGTAAAAACCTTGTTTTGAACACAAAACTTGCTTCGGCTGATACCAGTACAGAGCTGCCACGACTTGGTGCTTTTGTCATTTACAGTAAATATCTGAACATTTTCCAGCGTCATGCAGATCAAAGTACTCATCAAGTTATTTACTTCCTGTTACTGCTCTGGATATTGTTTTACTCTTAGCACTCAGCTTGGATCATTTCACCACGAGTTTCCTCTTCAGTTCTAGTGGTTGTAATGTGATATAGCTCATATAAGACCATCACCTGAATAAAACAAAAGCAGCAGCCAGGTGAGCGCTCTGGCTTCTAATACTAAAATGTGCTTGGTATGCACAGAACTAGGGCAAGACATGCATGAAGAGGTGGGTGTGTTTAAAAGAATGTTTTCCAACCTTAAGGAAAGTGCTAGAATCCTTGTACACCTCCTTGTACGGGTTGCTCTCATCTTCCTGCTGCACCTCCAACTCATCCTAACACACACAGACACACACAAGTATAGACATACTTTTTATTTAAACTGCAGCGTACTGTTCGAGCTGGAAATAATTTTATTATAATGCATTCCCTTTTGTTTAGGGGCAATCACAATAAAATGGCTACAAATAGTTACAAATAGAAATACAAAGCTTTTTATTTATAAAGCCATTCTTGGATTACTTTCTTTCTACTCTTGTAGGTATATTTAATCTACAAATAGCCAATATGAACTCAGTCCTAACAAAACCCTTTTACTGACTGTTCCTTAGGTTTTGTACAGATCTTTGTAAAAAGGCTTTTATGTTTTCTTTCTATGCAGCGTGGAATTATAAACTAGATTAAAGCTTCGAGGGTTTATCCAACAGTGCTTTAAAAAAAATAATAAAAGTTGAGACGATTGGAATTAACTGCATCCTCCTTAGTCTAATAAGCTGATCTCACCTGTTTCTTTCATAGCGAGGTTGTGTGACTTCATTAAAAGTACTAATGAAGAAAAACAGTGAACAAACATTAACAAGGTTTATCTCTTTTCTCTGGGGTGGTGAAACCTTCTTGTCTGCTATTTAACTGCTAATCAGTTTTAGTCATTTCCTTTACCAAAGTGTTTTAGAAACCAGGCTTAATGCTAAATAAATCTAATTTTAAAAGGTATCAAGTTTTGTTTAGCTCATGCAGTTTCATGAAACCTTTGATTTTTGTTCTTCCACATCTTCCTCTATGTCCTCTCCCTCGGTTTGTGGCTTCTTCTTGGGAGGGGGCACTGAGCTGTCATACGAAGCCCTATCAAACAAACAAACAAACAAACAAACAAACAAAATTGTTTTTTTAATCAACTTTTTTACTGCAGCACAAAATCACGAGGCAAATCCAGACCAGCTCGACTGGAAAATACAGTAGCAGCACCAGGTGTTGGCATTTGTGTCCGAAAGCCAATTATTAATTTCCTTGTTGTTAATTATATATTTTGACTGAACCAAAACTCAACTCTACAGGGCAGATGCATCTCTAAGACACCACTTGAAACTGATAATTGTTAAAAAAAAAAAAAAAAAAGCAGAGAAGACTTTCAACACAGTCTAGTGCAGGGTGTAAGATGAAAACAGGGAAAAGGAAATATAGTTTAAAGCAATATATAACTATGGAGTATTAAAGAGAGAAGGTAGCAGGCTACAGGTGGAGTAACCAGCATTCATCACGCGTTACAAAACAGGTTGACATTAACTTAGCACACCCAAATGTCCCAAACTCTAAAAAATAAATGGTAAAATGCATGAAAAATTTGCTCTTTGGTAGGAGTGAGCAAAGGTGCATATGAATATAATGCATTTAGGATTTAAAATGTTAAAAATGTTGTTTAACACAAAGTCTCTCCAGCGTGTCCTGGGTCCTCCCCAGGGTGTCGTCCCAGTCGGACACGCCCGAAGCATTTTCCTAGGGAGGCGCCTAGGGAGCATCCCTACCAGATGTCTGAACCGCCTCAACTGGCTCCTCTCGATGAGGAGCAGCAGCAGTTCTACTCCGAGTTTCTCCCACATAACTGAACTTCTCACCCTATCTCTAAGGGAAAGTCCAGTTACCCTGCAGCGAAACCTAATTTTGACCGCCTGTATCCACAATCTCATTCTTTAGTCAAGACCCAGAGTTTGTGGCCATAGGTGAGGGTAGGGATGTAGACTGACCAGATAACAGAGAGCTCTGCCTTACAGCTCAGCTCCTTCTTCACTACAATGGACTGGCACAGAGTCCACAATACTGCAGAAGCTGCACCAATCTGTCTCTCAAGCTCCATTCTTCCCTCACTCATGATAAAAACTCTGAGATACTTGAATTTCTCCACTTGAGGCAGAACCTCACCCTCAGCCTGAAGAGGGCAATCCACCCTTTTCCAACTGAAGCCTCAGATTTGGAGGTTGATTTTGTTTGTGCCATTTTGTAAAAGAAAGAAAAACTCACAAAGGTCACTGAAATAACTTACAAACTACAAAAAGTAAATAAAAAAAACATCATTAATGATCAGCTAAAGAAAATTTTGTAAAATTGTAAAATGTTTTACATTTTAGGTTCACCAGAATAAAAAAAAATAAATAAATAGTTAAAGAAACTGGAAAAACAAAAAAACAAAAGGAGTACAGGTACAAATGTAATCACTTCTGTGTAGCAGAAACTGTTTATTTTAAAGTCAACTATCTTGGTAATTGTTAAGACTTTAAGGTGTTGGAAATGTTTCACACAAAACCAAATTCTTTGTCCTAGGAGTTTGGTAAAGAACCGATTGCCTAAACTGCAAACCAACTTTAAAGAATAATTTTTTTTTTACGTTGAAAATGGACAAAATGCATATTTGAGCACCAACATGCAACGTATTTATGTACAAGACAAACGCACATTCCACTGTTAGCAGTGTGCACAAGATTAATGTGGGTTTTTTTGTGGCACCCAGGGGGCATTTCCTTTGGAATTTGTAGTATGATGTAGACAGGAAGTTACACTTTCACCACATTTTGATTGGATGGATTCTGCAGTTTTTTCATGAGGTCATGCACTAAGGAAATGTTGCTCTAGTTCAACAAGCTTAAAAAGAACGTTCACAGCACTCTATGAAAGGTAGAGACAGCACTAAAATGTAATATTTTATCTTAATACTGACTGACTTTTATGACAATCTGATACTGAGAACGAGGTTTTTGAGCCCAAACATGACGAGAATTAATGTTTGTCATGGCGGCTGCAAAACAGCAAAATTCTTTCTTTGATTCCTGAATAACCTTATTATATATTCATCTAGTATGAGTATTAGTGCCTACTTCCTTTGCAAGATGGTTCCAGATCATACAGTAAAATAGTTCACGATGAATACAGGTAGACATTGTTAAGAACATATCATTCCCTACTTCTCCTGAAAATTTCTTTAAAGTATATATTTTTAATAAGTTATGTTAACGTGTTTTTGTTGCAGGTAAATCACGTTTTTGTGTTTTCAAGTTTAAAACAAAGGAAAATCCTGCCGCGTCTCAGCGAGCAGGTCGCCCCGGTTCAAATCCCGGCCCAAGGGCCTTTCTGGGTGGAGTTTGCATGTTCTCTCCGTGCATGCGTGGGTTTTCCCCGGGTATTCCGGTTTCCTCCCACAGACCTAAAACATGCATGTTAGGCTGATTGGTAACTCTAAATTGTTCCTAGGTGAGAGTGAGAGAGTGAATGGTTGCTTGTCTCGTTTGTCTCCATGTGTCCTTGTTATGGACTTGAGACCTGTCCAGGGTGTCCCCTGCCTCTTGCACAATGATAGCTGGGTATGGGCACCAGTGACCCCCATGACCCGAAAAAGGAAGAAGCAGATAAAGATAATGGATGCATGGATGGAAAATTGTCATTTTTCAAGACAAAAAATATCTAAACATGTATTTTTTGCCAATCCAGACAATCTTGGTGTCAGTCTTTTGTTCTGTTCAAGCTTTTTCCTTTGAACAATTCATGGCTTCATACCCAACATATTTTGTTATTTCCACTGCACCTTTTCCTCCCATCATGTCTGCTAAAACTAAGGTCATCTACATTATCTGTGTGGAGAAATGTTATCTTACCTGCATGTTTCTCTTGTCTCCTCGATCTCTTTGAGTTCATCCTTGCTGTGGAGGACAGCTCCAATACTGTCTGCGCTCTCAGCTCCCAGCTGTGTGCAGATGAAGAAAAATTAGCACAGCATGAACTAATGTCTGCTCCAGGTCTTTCCCCAGTGTACGCTGCTTTTCACGCATTCATGTTTTGCACCTGTTGCTGTATTTAATACAATCAGGGTTTCTAGCTTTTTGTGAAAACAACATTCCCTGAGTATTCCTTGAGTAAATCCATCCATCCATTATCATTACCCGCTTATTCCATTTTGGGTCACGGGGGTCGCTGGTGCCCATGTCCAGCAATCACTGTGCGAGGGGCGGGGTACACCCTAGACGGGTCGCAAGTCCATCACAGAGCCACATAGAGACAAACAACCATTCAGTCTCTCACTCACACCTAGGGACAATTTAGAGTTACAAATCAGCCGAACATGCATGTTTTTGGTCTGTGGGAGGAAACCGGAGCACCCGGAGAAAACCCACGCATGCACGGAGAGAACATGCAAACTCCACCCAGAAAGGCCCCTGGACCAGGGTTTGAACCAGGGACCTGCTCGCTGAGAGGCAGCAGCTCTACCAGTTGCGCCACTGTGCTGCCCCTTGAGTAAATCCTGAAATTGCGATCTATTTCTGTAACACAAAATGTTTTAAACTTTATTTTTAATTCAACCTTTATTTATACAGGTTAGGCTCATAGATTCACAATGACTCATTTTCAAGAGAGACCTGTTTTGGTGGTGGGCAGAGTCCTATTCAGTGATGACAGGACAGTATGCACGTACTGTAGCCTACAGTATGTGCATATTGCATCATTCCTAATAATTAATTATATTGTATAATATCAGAAAAAAGCCACCATAGCCCATCAGTAAGGATACTGTGCATGCTCTGTGTAACTGTACAAGCAGAACATGGGCTCAATGACACGCACACACAGAAAAACTACAATTAAAACATGAACATCTTAAAATCTCAAAATTTTAATCTGCAGATCAAGGTCACGGTCTCTTTATTGTCATTCGCATCATATGTGGTACATGTGGTGGAACGAAATTATGTACACAGGGTCCCAGTTACATCCAACAAAAGAATAAATTGAAAAGAAAAACAGTAATAAGATCTAAGATATGAACTAAGAATACGCTAAGCACTAATAGTACAAAAATAAGCCGAACAACAGCAGCACGAACATGTACAGTAATCAAAGTCCTTGACCTTTCCAGATTTTTTACGTTTTTCTCTAATTCCACGAATTTTCACTGTCTGCAAAATGTGTCATTTGTTCACACGCTGGGAACCCTGACAATAAATGAACTGAAATAGCTTCAACAAGTTCCACTCATTTGCATATGATCATTTCACTCTTATTTACATTTTCACAATTCTCAGATTATTTACATACTCACTGCATGGTTTGCAGTAGAGTTAGTTTTTTTTTCCTCCTTCAGCCCAAAAAGACAAGACAGGTAAGCGCCGGTGCATATATTAATTTTAAAGCTCCAAAAATGGGCTTTCTAAACAACATAAACACATTCGGTAGTTCTGCAGCTCGGATAAATATCCTCAGAGCTACGTTAGCTGTAAAGCTAATAGTGACTTGCTAACTGTATGTGTATACTTGCCTGCTGAGCTAATAATTGTCGCCTGAGTTTTTGCCTCTCGCGAATTTCTTGAAGCCTACTGTTCATTTCTTACGTTGTGTCAAGTTCTTAGAAATTGTGTTTTTTTCTCGTTAGTGCATACAATCTTTCATAAACGCGTGATAATAACAAACTGTAGCCAAAGCTCAAGACACCCGCTAAAACAAATCACCAAGGATATGCTTGATATTCACACCGGCACACACGAAGACTCTTTTCAGATCGGTGTCTAAATGAAGAAGGACATGCGAGTTAAGCTTTTGTCTTTGTAACATTTTCGGCTGCAAAGTCAAAGTAGATCAAATACTTTTAAATAGAATGAAATACATAAAAACAAAGAATAATGCATGTAACTCCGCATTCCTATGAACCTACCGGTGTACGCCAGTTGTAAAAGTTAACACGTTCGTGAACTAATAGTCGCCTGATGATGACGAAAGCATAATCGACGCTTTCATTTAGCGTTTAACATTCCCAGCCAACCAGAAGATATTTACAACTGTGGGTTTAAAAATCTCTTTTTTTTTGTCCCTTACGTGCCCAGGTGCTCAAACATGCTTATTCATATATTTGTTTAAATTGTCTTTAAAAATATAGTTTAAGACACAGTGAAGTGTGGACATAAAAATTACATTTTGTGCATAGTCTAAGAATACATTATAAAGAAAAAAAGGTTGTTGAGGTCAAATTCACGCATTTAGTCATTATAAATAAAATCCCATATTTAGATCGATATGTAGTCCTTAAAAACAGCTGAAGTTTGACTATAGTTTAAATTTTTTTTTTTTTTTAACAACTGCTTTTAATGTTTGTATATGTACAATTTGTATGTGCAATGGTGGAAGCTACTTGAAATAGGCACAAACAAATTAAAGTATTTAATTCATTTTTGTAGTAAATGTACCTTTACTAATTGCCATAACATAACATAACATACAAACCTTTTTATATTACTGCACGATGCTGAATGATGTGTCTGACGAGGTTGATGGTCCTCTCTGAGCAACAATTCCTGTCATTCTGTGCTTGTAAATCAGTTTTGTAATCTTGCAAGATAAATTTATGATATGTGTATGATTTATGTACACATACAGTAGCAACCAGCACCAATCAGATAGAAAATTAGTCCAGCAAATGTCTGTCAGACAAAGTTTTCCATTCAGCACTGATATTTGGGGCGAAACACAGAAATATAATGTTGAGTGTCTGATACATCACGCCCTTACAAAGAAAAATATTTATGCTACAAAATGCACCCAAAAATATCTGAGCTGGCTATGAATTCTGATACTAAACGCATTCAGCTTCCAGTGAAGGCAACCAGCTCTGTAAGAAATGAATTCTGCTTATGAGGTCAAGTCTTTACATGATTGTCAAATTATTTGGGCGTATTTCAACAGATATCTTCACATCTTTCATGTTCATTACTAAAATAGAAAGAATAAAGTAAAAACGTTTTAGTGTAAACAGTTATTATGTAACATAAAATATTCCTATTAATTTCTCTGGAATGACTTATTTTCTTGATTTCCATCAAAATGTTTGAAACTTGTATTTTTTTTTCATGTGTTTATATAAACAGTTGTTTTTTTTCTGCTTCTAGATGGGGACTGGAACATGCTAACAGCAAGATGATGGTGGGCCACCACACCGAGCTAAGAGGCCTCATCATCAACATGTGCTCAGGAGCATCCTCAGATGATGTAGAAGCACAAATATTTCAGGCTGCACGATATACTTCATTATTGTAGTCACAAAATTAACATTTAATAAAAGTTATTAAATAACTGATTCATCAGTGTCATCCATTTCTTTAGTGAAAATATTAATTCACTGTACAATGTCATCATGAATCGTACAACATCATATTGTTTATGTTTTATAATGTTTAACCCTGAAAGAACAACGGAGGGGGCCAGGTTTGTCAGTGCACAGCATATGTGCACTATTTTATCCAGAGGTATAAGACCTTTGGTGGAAGTTGTGCCACAGCTGAGGCAACAATGACGTCCACTCCATCCTTCATCTTTTCCTCCATCCTCTTCCTCTGCAGGCTACTGAGCTGCTCGTACCTCTGCATGTCCCTGCTTCCTTTCTACGTCACTGGTGTGGGTGTTTAACGATGGACGGAACCTGGTCAGAGAGCTTTCAGCACCTGTTCACAGCAAATAAAAAGTGCAATATTATCACTAAATGTCCAAACAGGTGGCTAACATCAGTGGTTGTGTCTGAGTGAACTCATGTACACCTGTCAGCAACAAATCTTTAGAAGACTTTTTAAATCATCTTCATGGACAGAAGTAACCAGAGATCAAGGCAAATTAGGAGGAAATGTTTTTGTTCTGAGTTCAAAACTCCTTTTGTTAGATACAGTAGTTATAAACTGTGTGTTTCCATTTTTTTTTTTTATTGAATCTAAAACTTTGACGGAGACATTTACTGACTCATCTTCTATATGGGGCAGCACAGTTGGTCGTCCTGGCTCAAATCCTGGCCGGGGGCCTTTTTGGGTGGAGTCTGTATGTTCTATGTGCGTGGGTTTTCTCCAGGTACTCCCGTTTCCTCCCACAGACCAAAAACATGCATGTTAGGCTGATTGGTAACTCTAAACTGTCTCTAGGTGTGAGTGAGAGAGTGAATGGTTGTTTGTCTCGTTTGTCTCTATGTGTCCCTTGGATGGACTTGTGATCTGTCCAGCGTGTCCTCCGCCTCTCACACAGTGATTGCTGGACATGGACACCAGTGACCCCCGAGACCCGAAAAGGAAGAAACAGGTCAAGATAGTGGATGAATGGATGAAATTCGTTCCTGACTCAACCTTGTTAGAGTTATCTACTTGGATGATTGCACATGCATCAGGGCAAATGATGTAAGACTTTGAACTGAAGTCAAAAGTTTATTTTGGCTGTTCCCTTCAGGGGTCACCACAGCAAGATGTGGCAATTGTGATGCCCTTCCTGATGCCAGCTGGGTTGGAACCCACAATCTCATGATTACAAGACCATGGCACCGACCACAAGCTGCTGTAGCTCCAAATGTGAAGTCAACATTAATCGTGAAAGGGAAATATTGGGAAATGCGCTCTTACATTCTATTTTAGCAGGGCTTAACCTTTGTGTTTAATATACTATTTAGGCCTATATACACATACCGGTTAAAAAAAAAAAAAATTACATATATATATATATATATAGGGTGACATTCCGTATATTTATCGTTTGAATGAATCTCTGGGCCGCGGTAGGTGAATCCTGAGGTTGCGGGTTCGAGTCCCGGTAGTGCAGGAGGGGCTTACGGTATAAAATAATCTTCAGACGGAGTTGACTCGCTGTAGCGACCCCTGCAGAAAGCAGCAGCTGGAAACAAATGTGTGGATGAGACTCCCGGTGTGGGATCATAATATCAGAGGAGTCGGAGCGTCTCTCCCCCCTCACCTCCACCCCCGCTCCTCCTTCCCACAGAGCCGGTGTGGATGAGTGGGGGCCGTCAGCTGATGCCTGAATCAGATTTCCTCCGGTACCGGAGCTAACATGAGAGCGCTGCTTCTCTCCTCAGTGGCTGCCTCTCTGCTCCTGCTGCGGGCTGCCGGCGCCTCCTCCAGCCGCCTCCCTTCATTCATCCTCCCTTTCACCGAGTGCGCCCGGAGCCACGGCTCTTACCGGGGGGCCGTGGACGTCACGGAGTCCGGCAGCCGGTGCATGAACTGGACCGAGGTGGCCGGATTCAAGGAGCGCCACCCGGGCAAAGGGATAGGAGAGCACAACCACTGCCGCAACCCGGACGGCAGGATCCGTCCCTGGTGCTTCTTCAGGAACCACCGAGGCAGGACGGACTGGGGCTACTGCGACTGTAAACAAGGTACCAGCAGGCCCACACCGGCTCCGAGCACTCACCCTCACGTTGGAACAGCAAGACCAAAACACGGAGGCTAAACTGACTGCTCATTCCAAAATACTACAGTACTACTACTAACTGTACACACAATGTGAACTTGGAGGGACGCGTTATGTTTTGTGCTTCAAATGCCATTTCAACTATCATTCCTAAAAATGAAGTTTAAAATCTTCTTGGCTCCTAAAATATATTCTAGACAAATTGTTAAAAAAAAATAAATAAATAAATAAATAAAACTCAATGTCCTGGTGTAACATTGTATGTTTTAAATGTTAGGAGAAAATAAAATAAGATGCACTTTTTGTTCAGAAGCATGCAGAGCACATTGAGTCCATTAATAATTTTATCCCCAGAGATTTTTCATTCATTCAACCTTTATTTATACAGGTTAGTCACACTGTGACGACTCTTTTACAAGAGAGACCTGTTAATTCTTAGATCCAAACAAAAGGAGAAGCATCCACAGTCTCAGAGTCCAACAAATTCACCTTATCAACGAGGTAAATGTGTTGATACCACTACATGAAGCACAAAGTTGCAGCCTAAAGACTAAAATATAACCTTTATCAGGGGAGGTCCTGCTTTTGTGTTTCACATATTAGAAAATAATAGTCTGCTACATGCTTTAAACATGTTTTCTGTTGGATCTACTCAGTGATTTCGCTTTTGCTAAGCAAAACCGTCGACAAGCTTTTTAAAACTGATCATTGAATATTAATCCTAAAAACATGAGTCCAATTCAGCTGATTCTGAAGTGACGTGAAGCTGCACATAATACACAGTGCACAGGTAAACAGATAAAAGTTTTGTTTCCCGTTGAGGATTTATTGATAAAAATTGCCCGTGTAACTTTACAAAGTGCCGCTCAGAGGGTTTGAAGAGCCACATGTGGCTGCAGAGCTGCAGGCTGCAGGCTGCAGGCCCCAGTGCATCTAACTGGAAAACCACAACACAGTTTATCATATCGTGTTAACGGAAAGTGAAGAGATCAAGTTTTAAGTGGGGTGGATGGATGAATGTGAGTTCCATCTGACTCGAGGAGCCAGCCGGTGATATTTTTAGGCTTTATTTTTAGTCTTGCTATTTGTCTGCAGAGTGTGGATAAGTTATATCCCTCCTGCTAAAAGGTCTTACAATGTGACGCGTTGAGTGGTTTGCACCGTCAGATGTGCTGACAGACCTGTTCCGTACCTGTGTGTCAGTTTGGACATACATCTATTTTCTTTACCCGTTTCTCGTTTCTGGGTAGCGGGGTCCCTGGTGCTTACGTTCAGCAGTCAGGGTACCCCATGGACACATCTCACATCCATCACAGGACCACATGGAAACAAACAACCGCTCACATATCCAACAATTTTCAGTCAGGTCATCTGGACAGTTTCTTTTTTTTTTGGTTCCACTTTGGAGTAAGCTGTTTGGGGTAAGAATCAGTTTTGTGTTGTGTGTTTCCTTGACTGATGAAGCCTTCTGGATGGAAGGTGAAACGTTTCAGAAAAAAAAAAAGAAACTGCCCAGATGACCTGACTGAAAATTGTTGGATTGTATACCTGGATTATTGAGCATGGACTTTGTTGGTTAACCACTCACATAATTTAGTTACCAGTCATGCATGTTTTTGGTCTGTGGGAGGAAACTGGAGTACCTGGAGAAAACCCACACATGCAAACTGCACCCAGAAAGGCCCCCAGCTGGGAGACGATCCTGTGACCTTCTCACTGAGAGGCGACAGCTCTACCCGCTGCGCCACCGTGTCTTCTCAGATACAGTCGAACTTGTCTGGACTTGTCCACTGAAATTCCCCACACAAAGCAGAAACAAGCAGGAGGAGTGCACTGTACGTGCACGCATAAGAAATATCAGAAAAGTTCTTGTTCAGGTTTTGTTGTGTTTTCAAACATTAAACTCTACAGAAAAGACGTGCATGACTGTGAAGGTAGACACTAGCACATTCAATTTTACCCCAATTTCTGTAAAAATGCCCTTTTTTTGTTTTGATTGTCAGACGTTCTGTTGGTTGTGGCAGCCATTTGGAATTGGGTTAACTCCAAAAGTTAGTCAGTTGTAGATGTGCAGCCAGTCATTACTTTCTGAATGTTTTATTGGTTCATGAGATATTTTACTAACAGGCAAAGGCCGCTGAGACTGTTAAGACTTTTAAATCTTTTCTCATCTTTTCTCCTGAAGTTTCATCCAGGATGAGTTTGATAGCCTGTTAGAACTGATGTTTTTATTCCCTTGTTGTGTTTTGCACCTTGTATTTCTTTGTTCTTGTTGATTTACATTTTCATTTGACTGAACTGTAAAGCACTGTGGGCAACTGTTGTTGTTTTTATGTTTCATATTAATAAACTGACACTGACTCCAACAAGTAATGCTAAACATGTGAGTATAAATCTCAGTCAGTGCGTAACACTTACATGTTGTGAATGACCTCGAGCTACAATCCTTTCAAATATTACACAGTATCTGTAAAATATACTGAATTACGTCCATTTTCATGTTTTCTGTGGTCAGTTGTCTCAGGTGGCCATCTTTAATTGGGGTTTTGTTTCTGCAAAAGGTAACAAGTTGTAAATGTACATTCAAAAATCACTTCCCTGCAAGTTTCAATGAATGGCCTCACGGTTCATCAGATATTTTGCAAACAGACACAGAAACTCACAGACACAAGCAGACACATTATAATCAAGAACAAGTAATTATCCTCGATTTGCACCGACGTCCATTGTCTTTGTCGTAGAGTGTTTTGTCTTGTTTTCATCTCGTTGTCTTTTACCCCAGCCTTCTTTTCTCCTTCCAGGCTCGGTGCGTCTGCAAGGAGGCCGCTCCAAGCTGGACGGCAGGGTGGAGGTGTACCTGGGAGGGGTCTGGGGCTCTGTGTGCGGCAGTCAGTGGGGGGATGAAGATGCTTCAGTGGTTTGCAGGCAGCTGGGAAAGGGGTGAGAGCGAGCAAACACGTTTCATGCACTTTCCATCTGCCTCCTCGTGTCACAGTCAGACGCAGAGTGCTGCAGCCATCCGTCATAAAAATCCACAACCTGAAGCTGCTTACAGAGGCTTAATGGCTCGGATGGTTCAGTGTAATCATTAGTGATGTTCACAGCACTCCAGACAAATTTACTCTAGGTATTTTGTTCTTTTTGCAGGAACTGTAACTTTCTTGTATGACCTTTACATTCCACATTTTATTACCCTGCAGAGGTGTTTAAATAGTTTAAGAGCTCGGCTATTTTCATACTTATTAGCGCACTACTGTCTCACATGCACGCAGCTGTGTTATACAGTCTTGCCTCTGAGGTTTAGTCAGGCTAGAACAGGTCTTGACGGAGCCCCATAGAGCACTTATTCATTTTTAATCGTGTTCATAAGACGAGGTGGCGCAGCCAGCAGAGACAGTCCTGCTACACGTTTACTCATACATTCTGACATGAGCGCACGGCTGTGCAGCATGTGCATCAGGAGTCAATGAAAGCACACAGTCTAAAGGAGAGAGGGCAAATGTCAGACGTAAGTCAGCTGGAATCCTTGGCGATGACTTTCACATGGTCTGTTATTGAAAGCTGCTGGTGAGCAAACATTACAACTACCAGCGCCAGGAAACAGCTGTGAGACAAGCTGCGCTTGCTTGGACTAGAAGGGCTTGATTTTTTTACTTCTTATCTCATCATAAAATATATATATGTACATACTGTCCCTGCTCGGAAAAACAAAACTGTATATGTATATTTTAAACTTTCTATCTGTGTATTACAAACAACAAACAGAAACATTAGTGAAGGTAAATCATCATCATTCTGTTCATCATGTGACTGGACCAGGACAATTACAGGCTCATTTTCAGTTCTGGGCAGGCTGATGGTACAAAAATTAATTTAAAAAGTTGTCTTAGATCTAAAGATTCCAACAAAAACATCCATAAAAACGTTGGACAAAATTTCTTCGACTACAGTTTTTATTTTGTTCAGTGAAATTATTCAGTGAAGTAGAAGCTAAACCACGAAAAGCTTATTTAAATATAGTTTACAGCAAAAACATATAGGTCTTGATCTCTTTTTACAGACCTTGACAATAATAAATTGTTTTATCATATTAAAGCAGAAACATGAGTTACTTGACCAGTCAGAGACGTTGATCATGGAAGCTGACAGTTCTTCTGCTGCTTGCTTTTTTTTTTTGCGTGTAGCTCTGATTCTGTGCCGTCAGCACATGTGGACATCTGACAGTTAATACTAGACAAATAAACTTCAGTAAAGTCATAAATGTACAAACGAAAAATACCAAAAAGGAGCCTTGAGGTACACCACCATCATTATCAACTATAAATCTTAGCCCATGATCCAAACATTTATTCAAGTGCAAAGTTATCCATGTTTTTAAAATGACAACACATGTGTTTTGATAAGTTTGGATGAGAACACTTAAATGTAAAAAGTCCGAGTTAAGAGCCCATGGTTCATTTTGACCCCAGGGCAGCAGGAGGGTTAATTGCATTAAAGCAGTGGTGTAGTCTACATTTTCATACTGGGTATACTGTGCTTAGAAACCAAAGTACACCAGTTAGTACAATGTATTCATCGATTTATTTTGATTTTTAAGCATATTGAACATTTCAAAATTTCTCTGACGCTTATATTTGAATAAATGTACAATAAACTTTGTACAACAGTTGGCTTCGTATTAAAAACGTTATAGATTTTATAAAACGGTATCAAAGCAAAACATGTTCAAGTATTAAGTAGTAAGTACTGAAGTATTAATCATGCAAAAAACAGGTTGAACCAACTCGACGTGTCTATAAAATGTTCCAAATGTGTAGACAATGACACATGCCCAATAATATGTCACGTATCACCGGGCACTTTTAACTGGGTATACTGACATTCCCAAGCTTTTCTAGTGGGTATACTCCATATACCTGCGTATCGCATAGACTACGCCACTGCATTAAAGGTTTTCTTTTATTCAAGACACATAATCCCACCTCATCACCTTTGTCCAGTTCAGTCTTTATATTTTGTAGAACAAAACATATTTGTAATCTTAGTGGAAATATGTTTTCAAAACCCAAACAGCATAAAATGTAGAACTCAGCTGTTCAAAGATCTATTTTTCTAAGCTCTAAACATGTCGCTTGTTTCACACCAAAAAGTCTTTCATTTTAACATACGTGCGTTCACCAGATCGAGTACCTCAGTGATCATTTCAGTTTTTCAAGCTCAAGGAGACTGCTTTTAACTGACCAGTGACTGAACAATTCTCTCTTTATGGGTTTAGTTTAAAATGCTTAACACCTCCTATGAGATAAAGATTGGAACTGCCAGCAGGTAAATAAGTACGAGTAACTTCTTTGCTTTTGATGATCTCCTCCCAGGATCTCAGGACTCGCTCGTGCAGTTCCCCTCTTTCGGCCCGGCGTAGCTAAGCTCCACTGGATGGCGGTCCATTGCCAGGGAGAGGAGCCAGACCTGCTGCAGTGTCCCAAAACTACCTGGAATGGAGAGGAGTGCTTCCTGGCTGCAGCTGTCACCTGCACCCAGCAGCAAGGTGGGCCTGCTTTATGAGATTATACGAAGACTGAAAATAAATAAGGTCTGACAAGAGTTGAAACCCTGACAGTCCGACTACGCGTGAGAAAGCTGCGGCGCTTGTTGTTTCAAAATCTGTATAAACTTGTATATTTGTGATTTTCAGCTGTTGGTACACTTCCTGTTCGACTGGTGGGGGGTCGATCTGAGTCAGAGGGCACAGTGGAAGTCTTTCACGCAGGGCAGTGGGGCTCCATATGTGACGACCAGTGGGACGACAGCGATGCAGAGGTGGTGTGTCGACAGCTGGGGCTGAGGTACGAAGGTGACACACAAATAGATTTCAGTTTTCTCTTCTATATGAGTTCTGTACAGTAATGGCCATAAGGAAATCATTATCAGAATGTGAAAAAGGGGCGTGCGTAAGAGAATGGAGCTGAGGAAATGTGGGTGTGAAGCCATCTTCCTCTCCCTCTGTCTCCTAAAGTATGACAAGTATTCTTTCCATCCAGACTCACACAGAGAGGAGTGAGCAGTAAAGAACATCTGGGGTCAAACAGTGAATCAGGCTCATTGTTTCTGCATGCATGCTAGCACCACAGAGATATGCATATTTAGCAACGCCATATTCTCTATTAATGTTTTGCATTGTTAATGATTGTATCTGCCGAGCTGTTTCTCATCTATACAGCATAAATGTAAAATATCTGTTCCACGAGATAGAGTATTCCTTGCATGTCGCCTGCTACTTTTTATGCCAGAGTTTTAAATAAAGATCATCTTGCGTTGAGAAATAATGGAGTTCCAGTTAATTTGGTCAAATCTTGAAAATAGCAAAATACAATATCTCGTAGTGCTCGAACTGGGGTCGGAGTGACTCGTTTGTGCCACATCAAAGTTTAGCACATTATCTGTAAAACTGACGGAGTTGTAATCATTTTTGTGTTTGTAAAGTGGATTAGCTGTGGCGGCCATCTTGTATGAGGTCAATTTTAAGTTAATCAGTTGTAAATGCTCACCAAATGATTATTTTCGGAGATATAATGTTCATTAAATATGTGTCCAGTATTTTGACAACAGACAAATAAACACAATCATGCAAAACAAGTGAATTGGTTCACTCTGGATACATATATTTTTTAGAAAGTAAATAACTGATAAACAAAACAATAACAAAAACCATGAATGTACCTCCAGGAGACGTTCCAGAATGTAACTCTATGTACTCTATGTACTCTATGTACACTATGTCTTATACGATGTATTTGTGAGACACAACCACTCAACGCATCTCTTTCCCCCTCTGCGTCTGTGTTATCACAGAAGCAAATGATCTATTTTTACTGTTTGCTGTCTTTTCTTAGTGGTGTTGCACGGGCGTGGGGCCAAGCACATTTTGGAAAGCATTCAGGCCGTGTGTGGTTGGATGAAGTGCGTTGCTCAGGCAATGAGCTCACTCTGGAACAGTGTCCCAAGGGTGCTTGGGGGGAGCACAACTGTCTACACTCTGAGGATGCAGGAGTCTCCTGCAGCCCCCTCACAGGTAGGACAGCATATTTCCTTCACAAAAGTGTCGCTTGCACCAATAGTTTTCTATGATGGTGGCACTTTTAGCATCTCTAATCGTTATATGTTGGAACATGTGTCCTGTAAATCGTTTGATAGTTATCTAGGTTTTTGGTGCAGGTATTTTGACTTGTCAAACACAGGTGGAACAGAAAACATCAGCAAACAGCTGAACTTTACTAAACAGAAATGTCTTGCAGTCATTGTCTCTATTTAAAAGAGCTCACATGTCTGGAGTAATTCTTGGCCATCACTGAATGGACATACTCATGTTTCATATCAGTGTTGCCTGCTTTAACAATTTTGACCAGCTTACTGTATATTACGTACTACAGTCAAAATAAAAACATATAAAGCATAATTAAAAATACAAAAGATTAAAGACATAGCTATCCTTGAATGAATGTAGCCTGCTGCCATTCATGCAAAACCAGGCCTAGAAAGAATGTACCAGTAGTTATAGCCATTTTGGTCCAACCTGGTGAATGACTTTTTGCATGTTTTTATGTGTCGTGAGATCGCATGAAATGTGACGTAGACTCAGAGAATGTACTGTGAATGACTCTCAACTATTATACACTGAATTTAGCTCAAAATCTGGAAAATTGTCTGAGTTCAAAAATGTTTTTGTGCCTTTAAGATCGATGGCCTGTGGTTGCCACCTTGATCACTTGATCAGACCTTACAGACCCAAACATGTAGTGAGGGTTTACTGGGAATGCCTGGCAGAAGGACCTGCCAATAAGATTTTCAACTCTCACCATCACAGCGGAGGGGGGACATTGAGTCCAAATGGCTCACTTGTCACACCTCTAGTCGAGCTGTGTCCCTAAGGATTTTGGAGCCTGTCATGGTGACTGTCCTTGAACCCGGTAAAGGACAACCCAGGTGTGGGAGGCCTTTGAGCTGAAAAGGAGTCTTTATGGGATTTGTTATCTGGTAGGACTCCAGTGACAGCTGAGGGCCAAGTGGACTGCAGTCCTAGATGTTGCTGAGACAAAAGTGAATGTGGAGGACTCTGGTGAGGCACTGGATAGAGATTCTCAATTTACTTCTAAAAGATTCTGGCAAACTGTCAGGTAGCTGAGGGAAGGAAAGCAGCACATTACCAAGACTGCGTCTAGTGGAGGTGAGGTGCTGTTGACCTTAACAAATTATGTCAAGACTGCTGCTCCTCCACACTGAGAGGAACCAAATGGTGTGGTTCAATCATCTCATAAGGATGCCCCCTGAACAATTCCCTATGGAGATGTTCAACTCATGTCCAATTGGAGACTCTAGGACTTCAGAACAAGCAGCAGACGATGAATGGATGAATGAAAGCAAAAAAATATATTTTTTTTTCAAAATGTCTTTTTGCCATTTTTTTTGATTAATTGCTTTTTTTCCCTTTGTGTGTATTGTTGCTCTATGCAGATGGTACCACCAGGTTGATCGGTGGCACTGGAAGCCACGAGGGGCGTTTAGAAATCTTCTACCGCGGTCAGTGGGGTACAGTGTGTGATGATGGCTGGACTGAATCAAACACACAAGTAGTGTGTCGACAGCTCGGCTACAGGTCCAGTGAAGTATTCACTCTCAGTCACGTGCATTCCCACACCCTCCTATCCATCATTAATGACTGAGTCTAAATGTTCCTGCATGTGTGCTTGTCTGCACAGCAGGGGGGGTGAAACTCTTTTTTCTGGAGGCCTGGACATCACTCCTGTCTCACCCTTCAGGGTGGGGTCAGGTCCTATTCTTTTGGATGATGTGAGTTGCACGGGGAAAGAACCAAGTCTATTGTTGTGCAAGAAGAGGGAGTGGTTCCGTCATGACTGCACACACCACAAAGACGTTAAAATCGCCTGCAGCCCTGAGCGCAGCGGAGGTGGCTTTCCAACAAGTAAGACAGCATCTTGTCATACAGTGTGACATATCTTACAATTAACAGGCACCGGTGGAATGAATTGTAGAACAAATGTTTTGCTTGTATGTTGTCAGCTGCTATCAGCTACACCCAAACCCATTCAAAGGACTGCTGTAATCTGTTTGAAACAGTTTCCTTATCAATACATCAGAGCTTTGGTGTTCCATTCAATGCTAGTCAAAGTGGATGGTTTGTTTGCCCATAAGGAGGTCGGAGTGCAGTCTAAGGCTTGGTACCCAAAGGTATTGGTCCACATTCATGTCAAGCATTGCCACCTTACACAGCCAAGACAACTTTCATCCCAGCAGAATTACAATAATGATCATCTGCATTATCTGAGCTGATCCTTGATGCAATCCCTCATCCACCTTGAAGCTGTCACTTCTAAAGCACATCTCACCACTTTCCTGCTGTCCTCATACATGTCCTGTACCAGTCTAACATACTTCTCTGCTGCTCCAGATTTCCTCTTGCAATACCATACCTCCTCCCTCGGCACCCTGTCATACTTTTTCTAACTCTACAAAAACACAATGTAGTTCTTTCTGACCTTCTCTGTACTTCTCCATCAGCATCCTCAAAGCAAATATGTCATCTGTGGTGCTCTTTCTTGGCATGAAACCATTCTGCTGCTCACAAATAGTCACCTCTCATCTAAGTCTAGCTTCCACAACTCTCTTCCAGATTTTCATTGTATGACAAATTAACTTAATTCCCCTGTAATAGCTACAACTCTGTTTACTATAATATTTCTATGTAGGTTTGGGGTTGATATGTTGATCAGAAAATTCCCTTGCACACACCGAGCTGTGCCTCAGATTGGCTGTTTGTACCCAACTTTTAATCAATGTTTTAGACTTCTTGTTTTCAGTCAATGACATGTTCAAAATGCACTTCATAAGATTTGGCCATAGTATACAGATGGTGAAACTGAAAACTGCATACCAGCAGGTTTATAAGTAAGTGGTTGTGCACTATAAACAGTGATGGTATGCAAAAAACGAACATTAAGGGGGCCAATACAGGTGAGTATTGGCCCACTTCGAGCATTGATTCTTAACTATGTTTCTGATTAATTTTTGGAGTCGACCTGGTTCAAAACGGTTCAAAATACTATAACGCAGCCATAAGTTGAGCTAAAATTTGGACTGGTTGTAGCTAAGAGTCAGTCCCAACAATACTTCAAACATGTCAGAGTCAGAGTTTCTTTATTGTCATTCGCACCTCATGTGGTACATGTGGTGGAGCGAAATTATGTACACAGGGTCCCAGTTACATCCAACAATAAAATGTAAAAGAAAAACATTAATAAGATCTAAGATATGAACTAAGAAAAACATCAACTAAATATACACTAAGCACTCATAACATAAAACACTGAACATCAGCACAAACATGAACATGAGTCTGTGTGAGCGGATGTGCACGCATGAACACAACAACATGGAAACAGATCAGCAGCAACATGAAACAGATCAGAAGCAACATGATATGATTTTTCACAGTGATTATTCTAGTTAGAGATTCATGAGTCTAACAGCCTCAGGGTAGAAGCTGTTCCTCAGTCTAGTGGTTCTACACTTAATGCTCCTTAACCTCCTTCCTGAGGGGAGTGGGGCAAAAAGTGTGTGTGCTGGGTGAGTGAGGTCCTTCATGATGCAGGTAGCCCTCTTCCTGCATCTAGAGGTGTAGATGTCTGTGATGGTGGGGAGGCTGACTCCGACAGTCTTCTGTGCAGCCTTCACCACTCTCTGCAAAGCTTTTCTTTCTGCAGCTGTGCAGCCTCCATGCCACACATTGATGCTGGAGGACAGGATGCTCTCCACTGCACACCTGTAGAAGGAGGTGAGGACTGAGCTTCCCAGACCAGCTCGTCTCAGTCGCCTGAGGAAATAGAGTCTCTGATGAGCTTTCTTGATCAGGCTGGTGGTGTTGTTGCTCCAGCTGAGGTTGTCATTCATGTGTACACCCAAGTACTTGTAGTTGGAGACCACTTCCACTGCAGATCCTCTTATGTTCAGGGGAGTGTAGATGTTTTTGTTCCTTCTGAAGTCCACAATCAATTCTTTTGTCTTCTTCACATTGATGTGAAGGTTATTCTATTTGCACCAGCTCCCCAGGTGTTCCACCTCTTGCCTGTAGCTGGACTCATCATTGTTTGTGATGCATTCCTCCACCGCTGTATCATCTGCAAACTTTACAATATGACAGCCTGGATGGGTAGCTGCACAATCATACGTGAGCAGACTAAACAGGAGGGGGCTCAACACACATCCCTGAGGAGAGCCAGTGCTGAGGGTTATAGTGGAGGACGAGAAGTTGTGGATCCTCACTAACTGTGGTCTGTTTGTTAAGAAGTCTAATACCCAGTTGCAAATGGAGCGGCTTAGTCCTAGTGTGAGTAGTTTGTCCATCAGGGTTTGGGGGATCATGGTGTTGAAGGCGGATGTGAAGTCCACAAAGAGCATTCAGACGTAAAGAGTTTTTCTGCTCCAGGTGGTTGAGCGCAGTGTGGACCACAGAGGAGATGGCATCCTCTGTTGATCGGTTCTCACAGTATGCATACTGATGAGGTTCCTCGTTGATGTTGATGGTTGTTTTGATGTGAGTCATGACCAGTTTTTCGAAGCATTTAGCGACTATTGAGGTGAGGGCCACTGGCCAATAGTCATTCAGACCAGTCACTGTAGAGCTTTTTGGGACTGGGATGATGGTGGCAGTCTTCTGGCAGGTGGGAATTGTTGCCAGGGTGAGTGAGGAGTTAAAGATGTCGGCCAGCACCTTGCAGAGCTGATCGGCACAGTCTTTCAACATCTTCCCAGGGATGCTGTCTGGGCCGGTTGCTTTGTGCGGATTAATCCTCCTGAAAATACTCCTTACTCCGGCTGAGGTCACGCTGAGAAGCTCTTCATTTGGTGGTGAAGCGAGTCTGGTGCTGGGTAGTCTGTTCAGGTCTTCAAAGCATGCATAGAAATTGTTGACTGTTTGAACCAAAGGATGAATTGTGAGGGAGCGAGCAGTGTTTCTCTTTAAGAAAAATGGGAGGGAGGCCCTTTGATGTGGCATTGACTGTCTCTCTTTGGTTCTCAAAATGGCAGACGCTCCGTGTGGTTTGAACTCAGCATAGCATTTTTCTCACAAAGATTTTATAATTCTCAGCTTCTTTTTGCAGAGAAAAACAACTATTTACACGAAGGCACGGGTTTCACCCGTGAATTTTGGCGTTTCGACAAGACAAAGGTTTTTTCCTGAGGTCGGCCTGTTAGCTTAGCTTGTAGCTTAGCCTCTCAGCTTAGCTGCTTTTAACGATCCAAAAATACCATTTTGGACAGTTAAAATAGATTTAAAGAGAAAATAGAAAGGGAGGAGTCAGTGAAGAGCACCGGAGTTGAGCCTTTTGTCATCCCGTGTCTTCAGTAGAAAGAGAGAGACACGAAGAAACGATAAAGCTGATGAATGGAAATTAGGTTGATAATTTTCATTTATCATGTGATGAATTTATTTATTGTTTATTGTGACAGGCCTGGTTGTTACTGCTTTGTCTTTAGAGTTCACACAGACTCTTGTTCAGGAGCCCAACGCTGTTTGGCAGGAGCCTAAGTAGAGTTGCGATTTCTGGCCCAGGCCCGTGTCCGAACCGACTCGAAATTCAGGCTGGGTCTGGCCAAAATTATGTGCTTGATGGGCGGGCCGGGTCGGTCTCAGGCTTTTGATGCAGTTTTAATTGAGCATGTGGCCCCGCCCACCCTTTGCTCTTATCGCATATCTGAGGATTTCCAATTGACCCACAACAAGGAACATAATGGAGCTGGAAAGTATTAAACTAAAGCTAAAAAGCAGGAGAACTCACTCTACAAAGCCAGCACAGTGAAACCTGCTGATGTGTGTCAGGTGCGCACTCAGGTCCGACCGGCCAATTGAAAGAGTAAAAAAAAAGTCCCGTTAAGCTTCAGATGGATCACCGGATCATCGGCAGTGCGTGTCCAGCTCCGCACCCTGCTCTCATCTGCAGTGGAAGAAGTTGCAGCGCCTGAAGCTACAAAACCTGAAGCGAGCAGCGCATTCAATTAAAATATCCTTGTTCTATATTTTTTCAAATAATTTTATTCTAAAAATATTTTTGTTCATCTGTATAATAGCCTATGTTTACAGTTGATTTTTTTTAGGTTATTCATTTTGTATGTTAATATCCATTTGGTGACTTGTTAATAAAAAGAAATCTTATATTGTCCTTTCGTTACATTTTTAAAATATCATGTCAAACTGATTTGCTTACAAAAGCAGTAAAAGCTTAATTAATAATACATCCATCCATCCATTTTCTTCTGCTTATCCGAGGTCGGGTCGCAGGGGTAGCAGCTTAAGTAGGGAGGCCCAGACTTCCCTCTCCCCAGCCACTTGGACCAGCTCCTCCGGGGGAATCCCGAGGCATTCCCAGGCCAGCCGAGAAACATAGTCCCTCCAGCGTGTCCTGGGTCTTCCTCTGGGTCTCTTCCCGGTGGGATGTGTCTGGAACACCTCACCAGGGAGGTGTCCAGGAGGCATCCTAACCATAGATGGGGGTAGGAATGTAGATCGATCGGTAAATTGAGAGCTTCGCCTTTTGACTCAGCTCTCTCTTCATCACGACAGACCTGATAATACAGTCCTTTTTTTTCTTTCGGGGTTGGGCCTTTACAATTAATTAGTCGTGGCGTGTCGGACTCTGTCAAAATGTCTATGGGATTGGGCCGGGCCGGGTGGGATTTTTTAGGTCCAAATGCAACTCTAAGCCTTGGGCAGCTGTACAAACGCCCCACTTAAGTTATGGATCATAACTGCAATTTGTGTGTTTGCTTGGGTGTTTGTGTGTGCATCCTCACAGTGAGCCACAGACAGATGGGTCTATGTTTACTCTGGAAAAGGAAGAAGCAGCAGATAAGCACTTTGAACCCTTTCTCTCCCCATTTTCACACTTGTTGAGATGGTCATCGAGGTTACATCGAGCCGTGTGAAAACCCTAATGCACTTTGTTCTGTGTGTGTGTGTGTGCGCGTGCGCATACTAGTTAACAAGAGGGGATATGTATTTGTGTTTCAAAGCAAGAAGACCAACACAGGCATTTTATCAGTAGCTAACACCAGCAGAGAAGTAAACATTCCCACAGTTAACTCATTGACTCCTTATCTCACCCTCCAACACTTCTTTTGCTTCAGTCACCAAATGTTTGAATGTTGCATGTTTTTCCATTTAATCAAAAGAGTGAGTTCACATTAAAGAGCTTGAAAATTAAATGTTTATCGTTCCTTAAAGTAATGATTATCACCCACTACATTTCCTGTCAGAGATTTACACTCAAATTAAGGAAAACGACAGAGAAATGGCCATTTTGTTCAAATCGTAAAAATAATTGTCACGTTCTTGATTCTGAGAATTAGCTCCTGCCCTAACATGATAAATTCCCTGGTTCTTGTCTAAAGGTTGCAGGGGAACAACTCAACTGTGCTCTGATGATATTTATTTAACTTTTAAGCTTCTCACATCAGCAGCAGAACTTTATGATGCAACATTATAAGCAGCAGCAGTTAGTAGTAGATTGAAAAACTTTTACAATTACTGATGTAAAAACTGAAATCGGTTTTTATCACCATCAAAAATTCAACAAATATCAAGTAAGATTTTAATTGTTTAAACAAATAGTTAATTCCTTAAGCACAAAATATATCTCAAATTAACAGTCTACTCAAATAAATGTAGTGCCATGATGGGACGACGATGACGTTACTATTTCCTCATTTATTTGACCTATGGTGGACCAGTTGGTAGAGCTGTTGCCTCTCAGCGAGAAGTCTAAAAATGTTAAATCTGGTTCTCTGGACATTCAGTGTTTCCAAATGTCTGGCATCTGTACTCATCCCTTTAGTTGGCAGCTCAGAACACCACATACAGAACACCATGGACTTTGTGGATAAGGTGAGGGACGTCATCATGGAGACTGATGAAACAATGGTCTCTTTTGATGTCACATCACTCTTTACGTGCATTCCTGTTGATGATGCAGTAGAGGTGGTCAGTTTAAAATTAAAAGCAGACACCACTCTGAGCAGCAGGACCACACTCTGACCACACTTTCCATAGAACAATTGTGTCAACTCTTGAAACTGTGCCTGCAGTCAACCTACTTCACATATGGGGAGCAATATTATAGGCAGAAACATGGATGTGCTATGGGGTCTCCAGTTTCTCCTATTGTTGCCAACCTGTACATGGAGGAGGTAGAAAAGAGAGCCTTGATGTCCTTTTCAGGGACACCACCAAGTCATTGGTTCAGGTATGTTGATGACACCTGGGTTAAAATTAAATCTCAGGAAGTCCTAAATTTTACTGACCACATCAACTCTGTGGATAAATACATCAAGTTCACACGAGAAGATGTAAAAAATGGCAGGTTGGCTTTCTTGGACTGTGAGGTCTCAGTCTCTGGTAGAGGACATTTGCAAACTGAGGTGTACCGCAAACCCACCCACACAGACCAGTATTTGCAGTTTGATTCCCATCACCCTTTGGAGCACAAGTTAGGAGTCATCAGGACTCTGTATCACAGAGCAGACAGCATCCCCACTAACTCAGGAGCCAGGCAGAAGGAGAAATCCTACACAAGACAGGCTCTAGAGCAATGTGGATATCCTAACTGGGCCTTCCTGAAAGCAGAGAAGAAACTCAAACAGGACTCCAGTCAGCCAACAGGTGAAAAGGAGGAACCCAGACCCAGACCCAGACCGGTGGTCATTCCGTATGTTGAGGGAGTATCAGAGAAACTGAGACATTTATTTTCTAAACATAACGTCCCAGTGGCTTTTAAACCCCAAAATACATTACGGCAAAGACTGGTTCATCCCAAAGATCCAGTCCCCCGGCACAAACAGAGTAATATTGTGTATGCTGTTCAGTGTCAGGAGGGCTGTGATCAGTCCTACATCAAGGAAACTAAACAGCCACTGGCCAAAAGGATGGCCCAGCAATGAAGAGCAACAACATCAGGCCAGGACTCTGCGGTCTACACTCATCTCGGATGAAAGACGAAACGTTTCTACATTTTTTTTTTTGTTTTGTTTTTTTGAATGTCCAGAAGACATTCAAGAGAGAGAGAGAGAGAGAGAGTGAGAGAAAGAGAAAGAGAAAGAGAAAGAGAAAGAGAGAAAGAGCAAGAGAATGGTTGTTTGTTTCTGTGTGTCCCTGTGATAGACTGGAGACCTGTCCAGGGTGTCCCCGGCTCTCCCACAGTGACTGCTGTATATGGGCACCAGTGACCCTAAAAGGAAGAAGCGGGTAAAGATAATGGATGGATGTAGTATTTTGCTAACAGACAAAGAAATCTTGCAGAAAATGTTTAAGCTCAATGTTTCGAGTTGTGGATGGCTCAGCTACTTACAGAAAAAGTTTTTACTTATTACCTGCTGGACGGACTGACATGTAATTTTGTATGTTTATTTTTTATGGTTTCTTAGCTGTGACGCCATCTTGGATCAAACTGACTCGAAAAGTTAATCAGTTGTAAATGTACAGCCAATTAATATTTACTTGAAAACATCATTAAAATCCATCCAGTGGCAATAGACACACAAACACTTGAACACACAGACATGGGGAAATCAAAGGTCACAACTCTACAACACACACATAACTCATTTAATACCCTGATCAAATGAAAGACATTGTTATTTCTGTGGCTAATTATGTTATTTTTAGACCAAATTGAGACCACGTATAAGTGTAAACTGCTGGGGAAACTTACTCCATGTGGAAAACACATTAATGCTCACTCTAATGACATTATTGTATGAATGTGGGCTTTTGTAGCTGCAAGCTCTAAGGAATGCTGAGCAGAGAGTACAGAATGGATTAACTGCAGCGTTTCTGTGAACGTCTCAGAGAAAAAGGACAAAACAGACTTTTAAACACACACACACACCACACACAATTTCATGGTAATGAGGTGTTTTGTTGTAAGATGGCAGACAGGTGTTCCCGTGTACTTTCCTTGTAGAGAATGTGTCTGCACATGCTGCCACTCATGTGAGTCTGGAGGATCAGGTTTGTTAGGAATGCAAGAGGACTTCTGAACATTTTCACATACCGTGTTTTAAATTTCTGCTGGGAGAACAAATAAAACGTTGCCAACAACGTGTAGATTAGAATATTGTCAGTTTCGATTGTTAGGCCTGCACTAAAAACAGTCATGTTAGAAGTTTCTTCCCGTTAATGCAGGTTTTTTTCTTTCAAGTGCGTCCTCTCGAGGGAATTAACGAGTTTTCGCGTCCAAAATTTGAAATCCGTTCCATTACTTTGTGAAGTTCCCTTAAGCTAATTGTAAAATGAGATTCAGAGGCCCATACATGAGTCTAAATGTAATGAAACGTGTGTGTGTGGTTCCTGCAGGTATTCCCATCAGGCTCGTGGGAGGAGAAAGCTCCAGGGAAGGTCGTGTTGAGATCTATCTCTCTGGTCAGTGGGGGACCGTCTGTGATGATGGATGGACGGACCAGGATGCTGAGGTGGTGTGTCGGCAGTTGGGCTTCAGGTATTCATATATGCACTTTGTCTCTTGTAAAACAAGCCACAAACAAAATGAAAAGCATGTTCGTGAGTTTCTTTATGCCCATCAAGTTTCCATTTCAACACACTGCTTGCAGGTGTAAATTTCCGCCTTGAGTAGTATAGGTTACTTGCTGGTGAGAAATATTAATTTTAAAATGTTTTGCATTGTAGTGATTCCAAAGGATCCATTGTCATTGTCATTTTTATGACCACGTCAATTAAATTTGACCTCTTCCTAACCTCGTATATCTTTTGGAAAACATCACTTATGTTCAAGCCGGACAAACAGAAATCAAACGTTGCTGTTTTTCCACAGCAATCATGGTGCAAACCTACACCAGCCCACGCACAACCTGTCAAAAAAACTGTACCAGGAGTGACAGTGAGTGGTATAAAACACAGCAGGAAGGGAGGAGACTCTTGAGCTTTGAATGTTTGGTGGCTCGTTTCTTTTTACCTTCAGCGTGCAGGCTAAAGATAAACCATTCATGCATACTAAGGATTAAATTGCCAGTAAATATTATATTCTCCTATTAGATCATCTGATACAGTAAAACATGGGTGAGCTGTGTGATTTTCCTGTAAGTCCGTGTGAGTTATTTGCTTGTTTCATTCATGTCATTCAGGAGATTCTACCTTTGACACATTGCCCACAGGAGTCTTGCACCAGAACCCATTAATTAATGGGCTAGCTTTTGTCAAGGAATGCAAATCCACTGCCGCCTTTCATGCCAGAGTTTTACAGTAAAACCAGATTATGATGAGAAAGGACCAAAGTATAGTCATTTTGGTCAAACTTATACATTATATTTTTTACTAGATCTTGTGAGATGTGATAGCTCTTGGACTGTTTTGAATAACTTTCAGCTATTATCAACTCAAATGTAGCTTAGTATCTAGCAAATCCATTAAGTTGTTGCTTTTTGCCTTTGGCCATGAGGACAGTCTAGAGACCCAAGATGCCTGGAGTGTATTCTACAAGTTAAATGTAATTAGTACATGCATGGTTACAAGTACAACAAAAGTTTGCAATAGTTTGCATACATTTTAAGCATACAGAATTTTTTAAGCTTACAGAAAGATCTGAAGCTCTCGACCTTGACCTCTCTAAGGGATTTTAAACATCTGCTAAGTTCATGGCAAAAACCAACACAGACATGTTCCTGTTTTTAGTATTTTACATGGCTTTATAATGTAGCTGTTTTATTTTATTTTATTTTTTTTACATTTTTTCAAGTTACTTTTCATTTTATCTGCTTTTTTATGATTGTCTAGTGTTGTTTGTACCTCATCTGTGTTTTTAGTTTAAAACAGGTCTGTCTTGTAAATGAGTCCTCGTGGCTCAATGAGACTAACCTGTATAAATAAAGGTTGAATGAATGAATGAAAATCTTATTTAAACATTTTATTTCAGTTGTGATTCAGTTCCGGATGTTGGAAAAGCTGAAGTCTGGTGAAAACGTTGAAACATGATCACTCTTTACATTACACTCACTTAAATGAATCCAGACTGCCGGCTCTGTTTGCAGAATCCATCACCACCTTTCAGACTTGGCAGATACATCTGGTGCTCCTGCCCCGGTTCTCCATCGGTTTTTCCTCTTTTTTTATTTCCACTTTAAATTTAAGCCTTGATCTTGACTGAATTTATGTTCAGTTGAAGGCTGGAAAAAGTGTTTGAAACTGTTTAAAAAGACTGTTTTTGTGAATTCTGATTCAACATTCACACTATTGTGACCCCGTTTAGGTTTTTGTTTTCAGCATGTTTCTTTTTTCAGACTTACAATTTCTGAACACTGTACATTTTAGCCATTCATATGTACGGGCGGCTGTGGCTGAGTGGTTAGAGCAATCGTCCTCCAATGCAAGAGTTGGGGGTTTGAATCCACCAGCAATCACATGCTGAAGTGTCCCTGGGCAAGACACTGAACCACTCAATGCCTCCGATGTGTGTCCCATCGGTGTATGAATGTGATGAAACTCTGATTAGTCTCTTTAGAATGATTTGTTCAATTAGCTTTGTATAGATCTAGCAGAGTGCTGTATGAATGTGTAAATGAGGACACAGATTGTAGTGTAAAGAGCTATAAATACGGTCCATTTACCATTTACCACATGTTATTCAGCTCATCCAGGAGATGGGGGCTCTGATTTTGGGGGTTTGTAACTTGTATACTTTTGAAACTATTTACCTTTCTTACAAATGTTTTCCTAAAACATTGAATCCATTGAAATCTGTTCAGTTTTTTTCCCCAAAAATATTCAAAAAAGCGTTCAATACCAAAACAACTGGACTTTATTTGTAACAGAAGACGTTTCGCTCCTCATCCGAGGAGCCTTCTCAATTCAATGAGCAGAGAGTGAGAGATTCAGGTTATAAGGCTGAGTGAGATAAGACACACACACATATGTAGATTTGACGTCACAACTCAACACCTTAACAGTGGGGGTTTCTTAAGATCTTTGTTCCTCTAATTCACAGATGAGGCCCCTCTGTTCCCATCAGGTGTGAAAACCGGCTGGGAATCTGTTTTAAAGTTGCATTATATGCTTTTGAAAGTGGAAATCTGAGGCCTCTTCCTCTAAGAGACGGCTTTTCTCTTTTTTTACAAAAATTTCTTCCTTCACCCCCCTCTCAAACCATCTGTGTTCTCGGTCCAAAATGTGCACATTTTGGTCCTCAAAAGAGTGTCCCTTATCTGTGAGGTGGAGGTGAACAGCTGAATCTTGTCCAGAGGAGGTGGCTCTCCTGTGTTGAGTCATGCGTCTGTGAAGAGGCTGTTTAGTTTCTCCAATGTAGAGGTCTGGACAGTCCTCGCTGCACTGGACCACATACACTACAACATTCAGTTTGTGTATGGGTGTTTTGTCCTTAGGGTGGACCAGCCTCTGTCTGAGAGTCCTGCTGGGTTTGAAATGTACTGGGATGTTGTGTTTGTTGAAAATCCTTCTGAATTTCTCTGATACTCCAGCAACATAAGGGATGACAATGTTTTTCTGTCTGCTGTTCTCCTTTTTCTGTTTATTGGTGTGTTTTGTAGATTTCCTCGCTGACTTGACAAAAGCCCAGTTAGGATATCCACATGTTTGGAGAGCTTCTTGAATGTGTTTTTGTTCCTTTTCCTTCCCTTCTGTCTTCATGGGGACGTGTTTGGCCCAATGCTGTAAAGTTCTGATGACAGAGAGTTTGTGTTCCAGTGGATGGTGGGAGTCAAACAGAAGATACTGGTCTGTGTGGGTTGGTTTTCTGTCAACTTCAATGTTGAGGCTGTCCTCTCTTTCCATCTGAACCAAATCTGCATCTTGTCATATCTACATATGTGTGTGTGTGTGTCTTATCTCACTCAGCCTTATAACCTGAATCTCTCACTCACAGCTCTTTGAATTGAGAAAGCTCCTCGGATGAGGAGCGAAACGTCTTCTGTTACAAATAAAGTCCAGTTGTTTTTGTATTGAACGTTTTTTGAATTTATCATGTCCTGGATGACTGAGAATCTTCACCAGCATTTTCCAAAATAGTGTTCTTTTTAAAATATGCTTCAGTAAACGTTCTTGATTTTTGTCTTATGATTCATTTAACTTAAACATCTAGCTAATTTTAGTTTTTAGCTAGCTTTTTGAAACTTACTTTTAGCTACCATTCTGACACTTTTAGTTTTTAGTTGGCCTTTTTCTACTTTAGGCTTTTAGCTAACCTTTTGACTGTGTAGCTTTTCTCTAGCATTTAAATATTTTTAGCTTTTTGCTAATATTTTGCTGCTTTTATTTAACATTTTGACTGTTTGGCTTTTTGCTAGCACTTTGAATCTTTTAGCTTTACGCTAAAACTTTTGCTGCTTTTAGCTAACCTTTTGTTTTCAGCTAGCATTTTGGTATGGTTGGCATTGTTTGTTGTCGCTGTTGTCCATTGTTGTCATCATTCTTTGTTGAAATCAGGTCTCTCTTGTAAATGAGTTCTCAAAGCTCAATGGGATTTACCTGTCTAAATAAAGGTTGAATGAAAATTTTGCTAGGATTCTGATTGTATTAGCTTTAAACGCAGTTTCAGCTTCTTCTGCAAATTTCAGTATTCATCCAGCCTTCTGCGTTCACAAAGCATTATTTTTTTTAATTTTTTTTCAGACAATGCAGTTGCTTTAGTTTCTCTTGAATCTTTTTATGCTTTTAATAATGGTAGATATGAGCTTTGGTGTTTTCTTGCTTTTTTCTTGTATTTTACTCTGGATGGCTATAAATTTTAAATATACTAAACATCCTTTAAGATGATTTTTTTTTCTTTTACTAACAAATACTGGTAAGTCAGCTTCTGAGACTCTTCTTTCATTTCCTTTGAGAAATCAAAGCGATGACAAAGAAAAACCTAAACAAGAACAACCTGTCTTCATTTTTCTCACATCACGGCTCAGAAAGGCCCCTTAGCTGCCCTTTTCTGTGACCCAAACTCTTTGAATGGTACATCTGGAGCACATAAACATGAGCACAATGAAAGAAGTGTGTTAGAGGTGTGGAAACGCCATGTTCAGATCATCAGTTTGTGTCATGCTGGGTGTGGTGACAACTTATTATGTGACAGGTCTCTAAAGGCAAAGAGTCGGATCTTAATGCAATAAAGCAAAATCTATACTGACACGTGCAGATTCACACAAATTAAATGAAAAGCCATCAGCTTGATCTGGCCTACTTGTTTAAATGCACTGAAATGTTCTAGTTAATAAATATAGATCCATCAGCATCCTGTTTTGGAATGACGTAGTTACAAAAAACGAGTGAATATTTACCTGCTTGTAAATACATATTGTCATAGCTCTGCTCTCTGTCAGCTCCTCTGTCATGCTGCACACTC